CCACCAGGCGCCTTGGGGGACTTCTTGGAGGAATTAGATAATCTCCTCTCACTCATCCCTGAAACTGGCCCTCCCGCTGTACTTCTCGGAGACTTCAACCTCCAGACGGGGAAGATAGACGAACTAACATCTCTGTTAACCGCCTTTGCTTTCTCACTGTCTCCGTCCCCACCGACTCATAAAGCTGGCAATGTCCTTGATCTCATATTCTCAAGGAACTGCGCTACTTCTAACCTCTCTGTAAACCCGCTCCACACATCCGATCACTTCTTCATTTCATTCTCTCTATCCCTTTCCAAACATAACAAACTAATCTCTTCTCATCCTGCACTTGTCCGCCGTAACCTTCGCTCCCTCTCCCCCACTAGCTTTGCCTCGTCGGTGCTCTCAGCCCTCCCTTCCTCTGATTTGTTCCATCTCCTGCCTCCAAACTCTGCTGGAGAAACTCTCCTCTCTACTCTCTCATCCACTCTGGACTCGCTCTGTCCTCTCACATCTCGGCAGGCTCGTCAGTCCCCTCCTGCTCCCTGGCTAAATGATGCACTGCGTGCTAATAGAACCGTCCTTAGGGCAGCAGAGCGGAAATGGTGGAAATCCAAACACCGTGACGACCTCCTAACCTATCAGGCTCTCCTCTCCTCTTTCTCTGCTTCGATCTCTCAGGCAAAAATCACTTTCTTTCAAAATAAGATCCAATCTTCCTATTCCAATCCTAAAAAACTATTTTCCATCTTCTCCACCCTCTTGGACCCTCCAAAAGCTCCTCCCCCCCCTCCTCACTTCTGTCAAGCGACTTTGTTACCCACTTTGAAAAAAAGGTTGATGATATTCGCTCTTCTTTTTCTGACTCACCTTTACTCACCGCTGGGTCACCAGACCCTCCTTCCACCAACACACTTACCTCCTTTTCCCCTCTCTCTCCAAGTGAGGTTCTTACCCTCATTACCTCTGCCCGCCCTACCACCTGTCCTCTGGACCCTATCCCTTCAAACCTCCTTCAGACTATCGCTCCTGATATTCTACCGTTTCTCACCCATTTCATCAACACTTCTCTAACTTCTGGTCACTTTCCAAACAGTCTCAAGGAGGCAAGAGTAAACCCTCTCCTAAAAAAACCCACTCTCAACCCGTCTGATGTTATAAACTACAGGCCTGTCTCTCTCCTCCCGTTCCTGTCTAAATCACTTGAACGCGCTGTCTTTAAACAACTCTCCTGTTATCTCAATCAGAACAACCTTCTGGATCCGCACCAGTCTGGTTTCAAGGCAGGTCACTCCACAGAAACTGCTCTCATTGCTGTCACGGAGGAACTGCACACTGCCAAAACTGCATCCCTCTCCTCTGTCATCATCCTATTGGACCTGTCTGCTGCATTCGACACGGTGAATCATCAGATCCTCCTTCGCACTCTCCAAAAACTTGGAGTTTCAGGCTCTGCACTTTCCCTCCTCACCTCATACCTGAAAGACCGTACCTACAGGGTGACTTGGAGAGGGTCTGAGTCCGACCCTTGTCAATTAACTACGGGGGTCCCTCAGGGCTCTGTTCTTGGTCCCCTCCTCTTCTCCCTGTACACAAACTCGCTCGGATCAGTCATTAGCCCGCATGGTTTTTCTTACCACTGCTACGCTAATGACACCCAATTAATTCTGTCCTTTCCCCGCTCAGAGACACAGGTCGTTGCACGCATCTCTGCTTGTCTAGCTGACATCTCTCAGTGGATGTCTGCTCACCACCTCAAGCTCAACCTTGACAAGACTGAGCTGCTCTTCCTCCCGGGAAAAGATTGTCCCACTCTTGACCTAACAATCAACATCGGCACCTCAGTTGTTTCCCCGACTCAGACTGCAAGGAATCTGGGTGTGACCCTAGATAACAACCTGTCCTTCAATGCAAACATCGCTGCTACAACCCGTTGCTGCAGATACACGCTTTACAACATCAGGAAGATACGTCCCCAGCTGACTCAGAAAGCGACTCAGGTTCGGGTCCAGGCTCTCGTCATCTCACGCCTAGACTACTGCAACTCCCTCCTGGCTGGTCTACCTGCATGTGCCATCCGACCTCTGCAGCTCATCCAGAATGCAGCGGCTCGTCTGGTCTTCAACCTTCCTAAATTCTCCCACACCACTCCGCTCCTCCGCTCCCTTCACTGGCTTCCGGTAACTGCTAGAATCCACTTCAAGACACTGGTACTTGCTTACCATGCTGCGAATGGATCTGGCCCTTCCTACATCCAGGACATGGTTAAACCGTACACCCCAGCGCGTGCACTACGCTCTGCATCAGCCAAACGACTCGTTGCGCCCTCGCTGCTAGGGGGACCCGAGTTCCCATCGGCGAAAACACGTGGGTTTGCTGTCCTGGCTCCAAGATGGTGGAATGAGCTCCCCATTGACATCAGGACGGCAGATAGCTTGCACATCTTCCGGCGCAAACTGAAACTCATCTCTTTCGACTCCACTTCGAGCGTTAGAACTATTAACGAAGCACTTTTATACTAATAAAGGACTGGCTTACCTAAAGCCAGTTGAGTAGCACTTGAAATGTTTGGCTCTATGAAACCTGATGTACTTATATGATTCTGTTTTCTTCAAGGTTGTGTCTTCCTGGTCGAATGTACTTATTGTAAGTCGCTTTGGATAAAAGCGTCAGCTAAATGCAATGTAATGTAATGTAATATCGGCTGCATATTCCCTGTTACACTTAACAATTGCTCTGTGAGAGCCACTCAACTGGGCAGCGACAGAACCAGTGGTTTTAGATGCTACATAGCCTTGCCACAGCTCCATGCACTGCCAATGTGATCCACATTCCGCATGTCGTTGTAATTTTAGCAAGACATTCTTCCAATCCCGCACACCGTTTTTGGGTAGTCTGGCAGATGGGCCGCTTTCTCTGTCTCCCAAGTCAGTAGGTCAGGCTCAGAGGCAGAGCACTGACTGGCTGGGCTGCTCCCGGCTCGCCGCTCCCGGCTTGCCTCCCGCGGCTCGCGGCTTGCCGCTCCCGGCTTTCCTCCCGCGGCTCGCGACTCGCCGCTCCCGGCTTGCCTCCCGCGGCTCGCGGCTTGCCTCCCGTCTCTCCCGGCTCCCGCCACTCCCGGCTCGGCTCCCGGCTCGGCTCCCGGCTCGGCTCCCGGCTCGGCTCCCGGCTCGGCGCCCGGCTCGGCTCGCCTCCCGCCGCTCCCGGCTCGCCTCCCGCCGCTCCCGGCTCGGTTCGCGGCTTGCCTCCCGGCTCGATTCCCGGCTTCCCCCAGGTACTGCCCGGCTTCGTTGTAACCTTATCTTGGCAGGTGTTCGTCGTGGCATCGGGATTAGTTTTAATGTTTGCCTTGAAAAAAGTCATAGGCTATTTAAAGAGCAACTTGCAGGGTTTTTTTTTTCTACATTTATGCTTAAACTTGCTTGAAAATTACAATTTAAAAAAAGTGAATGCAGGATTTGATATGTTTTACGAGACATAAGGGCAGGAATTCAGAGGGAAAGGAGCAATTTTGAGCTCTGCTCTTAAAAACGGCTTTTTTTAAGGTCATACGTCAAACGCGTCATATTACATCACAAAGGGGACACATCTCCGCTCTCTGACCGCGGGAATAGTTAGTAGTTACGTTGAGCAGTTGTGTTGAGCGGTTGTGTTTTAGTGAGCTGGTATTTTTCGGTAGTTTTACATTGTATTTCACCATTTGTAATCATGGTGCATGTATTGTGTTTGTGCAAGTTGCACAAACACAATACCCCCTCCAATACCCCCTCCCTCCTTCCCTGCTCTCTCTCTCCCCTCCGGTACAGCACCGTAACGTAGTGTGGCTTTGCATTAGGTAACGCGAGATACGGCTGATACTTGCGCATTAGTTTCTGTTATGGATCAGTATCAACAGTCCTGCCAGTAACGTTACTATATTATCAATGCTACTTTAGTTATAGCCTGATATATGATAGCTAACTTTACAATGTTTTGATGTGACGTTAGCTAACATTCTGTAGCTAACGCCGATCACTCACCAAGATAGCTGCCCAGTTCTGCACTGGTTCTCCTCACACCACAGCTCAATTTCTCTCCGATGGCCGTTATTTCTTCTAATCCTTGGCTGCTCCTGGTCTCTTGGACGCCTAGCAGGCTCATAATTATAAGGTTGTGGTCCGTCATATGCATTCGAATATACATGTTCAACTTCTTCTGTGTCTTCTGTGTCGAAACTAGCATTGGGATCCATGTTTATTAATACGTTACACCGGCCGCTCTCCCCCTTGTTTCCCCTTTGTTACATCACACGCGGGAGGTCACGTGGGGAGGCTTTTTTGATGCAGAAATAAAAATGTCTTACAAAAACGACGCCAGATGTCACTGTAGTGTATATTTATGTATATTTTTTTGAAAATCTAGTATATACATCATTTTCCTACACATTTATTCACAGGTGTCTTTAACCTGGAAGTTGCTCTTTAAATGTTACCAGGATGCAGTGACAAAATATATTTGGGAAGGCTTAGCCTTCCCTAGCCTACAGTACCCGCCACCCCTGCTTAAGCCTTTCGTTAACAATAAAGCACTTGGCCGTCTCTAGTGACTTCTTTTTGAACCTGTAAAGACTTCCACTGCTGCCTTGAAGTATTCGCAAAGAGGTCCTGACTTTTAGGCTGGATTTGAATTGGGCATCTCACCTATCTCTCCGTCACCGACAACATGAGGTAATGGGAAGTTGGTTGACACTGCATTGACGTGCACGTTGGCACTATGACTAGGACTCAACATTGAAACGTAAGAATCCTCAGTCAGGGACAAGACATTTGGAGCAGTTCGGAGATTGTACTCTCAAGTTACCTCAAAATCCTGTTTCATTATAAGTGTCTCAAAATGGCTGAAACAACTTGGCAAGGGCGTTACAGAAAGCTTTTAACCAACACCATGAGGTTCACATCAAATTAAAACCAACCCATGTCACAGTAAGGCTGCGGGAGACAATGGATAGAGAGAGAGGGGGAGGTTAGGAAGTCACCTACACTCCTATCAGTGGTATGGTGTCCGCGAAGTATTCCTGGAAAAACTCCATGACTTCATCTCCTGTGGTGATCTTCTCAAACTCGTCAAAGGGCATGAACAGGGTGCAGGTGAATGTCTTGTCCTGAATAGAAAATGAGAAAAAAAAACGAGTGGACAGGAATGTTATGCTCAGATCCATTGTGACACATTAAATTACAACAATTCAAATTGAACTCAGAGTACTGTAAAGACTTGCTGTTTGGTGTCCCCTAAAGCACATTAAAATATATTTCTAGAGGACTTACAAAGAGCACTATTAAAATGTGGCATCAAATAAGATTTAATGCAAAAAATGTAAAGTCCTCAATATTAATAATCTCTTTTATACCTATAGACAGAGGTGGAAGAAGTACTCTGATTATTTACTTAAATAAAAGTAGCAATACTAGAGCTAAAAATACTCACTTTTGCATAGCGAGTACTTTTACTTTTGGTATTTAAGCAACAGATAATTATTTTATTAATTGATTAAGGTCATTAAAATAATTGGGGCATTAATGTGTTCATCACTTCAAGGTCCGTTAACCCAGTGTTTTTCAAAGTGGGGGCCCCGACCCCCCGGGGGGGCACCAAGGGGGTCACGCAAAGTTTGAGGGAAGTTTTTTTTAAGTTTTATTTTTTTTTAGATGTTATTAATAACTATATATCTATCAATCTATGTGTCCTTTGATGCCAATCTTTTAATATTTTTTGTTTTTGAATCACACAACCGCCCTTCAAGCCAATCAGAATCGAGCTGCCGCTACTGAGAGTGAAACTGAGTATCTGCTCAGCTTTTGGAGCAAGTGAGAGCTAGTGAATATTTCGCTCTGTAGCTGGATGAGAGCACGGATGTAGCAAATGTCGCGGAATTGCTTGCATACATCAGATTTATTTCGGAAGACAACTTTGTTGAGGAAATATTATTTTGCAAAGCACTGGAAGGTAGGACCACATGAAGAGACATTTTCCAAGTTTTAGATGAGTACATCATCTCAAATGGACTTGACTGGTCTCGTTGTGTGGGTGTGTGTTCAGATGGGGCAGTGGGGCTATGACAGGCAAAAAAAGCGGAGTGACAGCTTTTATCAGGCAGAAGGCCCCAAATGTAGTGGCAACAAACTGCATGCTCCATTGTGAGGCACTTGTACACATCATCAAAAAAAATTGCAACAGGGGGGTCCCCACCAGAGGATAATGCTGTAAGGGGGTCCTTGGCATGGCAAAGTTTGGGAACCCCTGCGTTAACCTACAATAATATCTAATAATGTTTGTTATTTTATATTTACTCTGCAAAGTAACCAGTTACTAAGTCTGTCAAAATAAATGTAGTGGAGTCAAAAGTACAACATTTGCAGATGTGTGTTTCAGCATGTCTCCTTTTTTTTAAAAATATATATTTTCTTAAACAACCATGATCTAATAATGGCATTGTAAATATATGGTTAAAACTGGATAAAACGTACATTTCTGTAGTTCGGTCAACATTGAATCTATTCACAAATGAAGTTCCATGAATGCTACATACTGTTGTACTGTGTACCAGTGGCGAACCGTGTCTATCACAACTGGACCTTCTGTACACACACACGATTCTCATTTATTCATTTTATTTATATAATTAAATCGATTTTTTGTTTGTTTTATCTGAGTGTTCCAGGGTATTCTATGAATACTTTGAAGGCCCTGACTGTTCACCACTGCTGTACACACAAGACTTTTACATTTGAATACAGACTTTAATGGACCGTAAAAATCCTCCATGCTGAACTTGGTATAGGATCTTCCCCCCTATATGCCATTGTAATAGCCAAACTCCACCCAGTGAGAGTGATGGATGCAGTGCACTGAGGGTGTGGGCGTGCCTTTTTCTGTCCATTCGAGCAAGTTTTATCTATCAAGATCACAAAGTCCTCCCTAAGGACCTTTCAGCACTGTCTCTGTTACCATGGTATACACAGCAGCAAGGATGACTTAGTGTTTGTATGTCGGCCCTAATGAGAACTATGGTGCACACCAAAGCCAGCTGCTTAACCTTGTCTCACTATTATGCCGAGTCAGACTTGCAGAAAAAAATCATTCTTGGATTAAGAATGACAGAAGAGTCAGAACGATGGCTTCACACAGAGACTGATGGAAGGAGAAGTGTGATCAGCATATTTCCAATGACTAAGCCCCCAGTGGCTATGATCTGGAAATAAGGTTAATTAACTAAGAGGAAATCCCAGAGACGTCAGTCATGTGATTCCTGTCACAATGATGCAGTACCCATTGCTCAATTAACATATACCTAGTAGTGAGAATCAGCCAACTATAACACGCAGGAGAGAAGAAAATAACATTCACACTCACCAAGTTGGGCAGGGCGATCATCATGAATGTATTTCTTGGCCAGATGTGCAGATAATCAGGCTTCATTGCGAACTGGGGGCGAAGATGATACAAGTGAGAGAAATTAAACAAAATATACATTGGTGCCAAACAATTGAGAGTCCAACACTAGCAGCATCACACAACATTCAGTAAAAGAAAAGTTTGATGTACAGAGGACCAGGCTCTGGGAGTAGGGCCTAATGGATTACATGCAACGGGATTAAGCTATTAGCTTATACACAAAATGTACCTGTATTCTCTTGCAGTTACAGTGGCGGCGCCAGGGTATGGCTGGGGTAGGCTACAGCCATACCAAGAAATGGCTTAGCCCCACCATGACAAATGATGTTAAAGTAAGCAAAATAAAGTCCGCCAACTCGCGCGGAGTAAATTGCACAGACAGCAATTAGTAAGATTGCTTTCAGTAGCCACTTGTCTGGAAATACCGAAGACTAAAAACGGTTTTGAAAACTTGTGTCACGTAGTGATCGTCTTCTCAATAGAACATCTTTGATAATGTCTTCTGGCCAATCAGAATCAAGATAACGGCGTGGTGTTGTTGCAGGAAGTCCCGACGGGGGGGCGCGGGGCTCCCTTGGTGGGGCGCAGCACCCCTCCAAGACAATGGTAGGGGAAACACTGACACAGTTTTAGAGTAACCCTCCCCCCCCCCCCCCCCACACTGCAGAGGACTGACCTCTCCGTTGACGGGCGGCATGGTGAGCTCCATGTATCCGTGGGGGATGTAGGTCTGGCTGTAGTTGAAGCGGCTGCGGCGGAGGAACTGCTTGCGGATGGTGGAGAACGCTCCATCACAGCCTACAATCAGGTCAGCCTGGATCTGATCGTGGGACCCATCCAACCTGAGGAATGAAGCAGAAACAAGACAACTTAACTTCAATGTACCGCTACACATTTCCTTCTTGCTCCTTTTCACACATAATGTCAATACAGGTGAGATGGGTTGAGGACAGTTAAGCATATTACATTACATTACATTGCATTTAGCTGACGCTTTTATCCAAAGCGACTTACAATAAGTACATTCGACCAGGAAGACACAACCTTGAAGAAAACAGAATCATATAAGTACATCAGGTTTCATAGAGCCAAACATTTCAAGTGCTACTCAACTGGCTATAGATAAGCCAGTCCTTTATTAGTATATAAGTGCTTTGTTAATAATTCTATCGCTCGAAGTGGAGTCGAAAGAGATGAGTTTTCAGTCTGCGCCGGAAGATGTGCAAGCTATCTGCTGTCCTGATGTCAATGGGGAGCTCATTCCACCATCTTGGAGCCAGGATAGCAAACCCACGTGTTTTTGCTGATGGGAACTTGGGTCCCCCTCGCAGCGAGGGTGCAGCGAGTCGTTTGGCTGATGCAGAGCGTAGTGCACGCACTGGGGTGTACAGTTTAAACCATGTCCTGGATGTAGGAAGGGCCAGATCCATTCACAGCAAGCAAGTACCAGTGTCTTGAAGTGGATTCTAACAGTTACCGGAAGCCAGTGAAGGGAGCGGAGGAGCGGAGTGGTGTGGGAAAATGTAGGAAGGTTGAAGACCAGACGAGCCGCTGCATTCTGGGTGAGCTGCAGAGGTCGGATGGCACATGCAGGTAGACCAGCCAGGAGGGAGTTGCAGTAGTCTAGGCGTGAGATGACGAGAGCCTGGACCAGAACCTGCGTCGCTTTCTGGGTCAGCTGGGGACGTATCTTCCTGATGTTGGTGGTAATGTAACACGCATGTGATGCAGTGCTGTTTAGGTTGCATTTCCAGTGGAGAAAACAAAAGGCAAAGTGGTGTGTTCCAATCCCCACATGCAAACACACTGCCTGTGCACTGTTGCAATGTTTTATTGAAATTAAAACACTGTTTTATTAAGTATATAAGTGTCAAGTGCACTCCAGGATGACATTTAAATTCTTAGCACACTCAACTAATTTAAAGTGAATTTAAGTTTTTCATTTTAGCAATAAATGCAGAGTGACTCATTCTAACCGACATTTTAAAATAGGCATGAAGATATAAAAATAAATAGAAATGAAAACATTAACATCCAATGCATTTTTACACATTTTAGATAACTCTGAATGTAATTGAAACTCTTTGATCAGACTAAGCAATTGGTGTTTCACTGCATGCTAATTTCCAATTGTTAATTGGGTTGTAAAATATGTGACATTTAGCTCAAGGACTACCAATTACAGAGCTACTGAAAGGTCATGCAGAGCAGCTTCAAAGGCAAGAAGTGTATCACCACCTCAGAATGTGACAAGGCAACATATGTTAACATGTAACACACAGGAGACATGGATGAATAAAGAGTGTTAAACAATGCAGATCCTCCTCCCAGATTACTCCATGTTTGCTATTGGTAATTATTTACCTGGTAAAGGTCATTAGCCCTGTTTCAGGACTCCAATCCTTGAGCTTGTGATCAAAGTTCATCTTCATGTTTGGATATGTCTCTGCCTCTGTCAGATAAACATGTTACAAAAAGGAGCTTATATCACAGACGAAAGCGTGTCATAACACCAGCAGGTTAATAAGAAATATCTCGTGAAAAAGCACAAAGAGCCTTCAAATTCTAGTAAAGTGCAGTAAGGACACAGACCGTCAGCACATCAATGAAGTGGAATGACCTCAAACTGATAACAAGAGTCTCAACAGAACAGTCAGTGTGTATTCATTTGTTAAAAACCCATGTTTAGGTTGTCAAAATCTCCTCTTCACTCCAGGAGTCTGGATTGGCCCTGATAAGAACCATGTCTTTACAATCAGCACACGTAATTAAAGTCAGACTCTGGCTGTCACACTTTATCTCCAAGCGCATACTGAGTCACTTCATTTAATATAAGGCACAATCCCTTAAGGGTAGAAAGAATAACAAATCCCAGACGTAATTCTACAGAGAGGATCTGCAGTCGATAAGGCTCAGCACGCTGGTTATCGACCTAATGTAGGACAATTCGTGTTAGGGAAGAGTTTGTCATTTCATTTGGAGTGCAATACACAGTTTATGAATAAAGAATACATTGAGGGTTTAATCCAGGCTTTCAGAGAATTTAAGGATATGTATTAATAGAGTATTCTTACACAAAAAAACTGACATTTTGACTTTAACTAGATGTATTATGTCAACAACTGTATTACGTTCAACTTAATATTTTTTCTTTCAACTAACCTCATACAATTATGTGGAACCTGTTGACATAATACATTTAATTAAAATCCATGTTTAATTTGTTCATTCTGGTTAACCCAGGGTTAACTCAAAACTATATGGTTTAAACTGCACTTATCCTGGTCCTGGATGTAATGCCTGTTGTAACAATATTTACTTTGAGGAATTCCAAAGTCCATTGAGAACTTCAGCCCAATTTCACAATGGCAAATGTGATCCTTTTTAGAACCCTGCTCCTGAGCGGAACCAACCAACTAAGGCCAAACTCAGGCTTAGCCATCTCTCGGATAGTGCCTGTGTAAAATAATTCTAATATTGCCTATTGTTTTGACTACACATTTTGTCCAACAACAGTCGGATTGAACTGACTGCTTGTCCAATGGCCCATTATCCAAAAGACAAACGCCTATCCCTACTACTAACATAAGCACATGGCTGATAAATATGAAGAGAGAATCTCCTTTTTTAATATTTTAAACCTTTTTTTGTCCTAGTCACAAAGTGAAGCTAAAGTCTTTTTTTAAGTTGAACTAAAATGTAAAAATCTGCTCGATAACATTAAATTGACTCTTTTGCTGTGCTCCATAGGCAAGCTTTTAGAAGGTAGACCAATGAAAAAAAGAATTTTCTCTTTTGCTCCTTCTTTGTACAAGTGTCACCTTGTCCTGCTGCTGCTAACTATATCTTAATCTAATCTCAAAATATTTGTAATATTTGGAAGTGTAACAAAAATGTTGGTAGGATTGCTTTCGTAACTTTGACGTAAAAGTGACTCGGTTGTTTTTTCACACATGGGAGAGACAATACATTGCTGTCAGATGGGGAGAATGTCCTTAACAAAGTTAGCATTTTCTTTTAGACAATGTGCATTATTGTATGTTAAATTATCATTTCAGTTAGGCTATAATTGGGTCATTTCAGCACACATCTTCTGACATTGTGTAGCAATGGAAAGTATAATAGAAACAAACACGTAATGTTCTTACCGGTTAGCAGCTCTTTGTTCAGGTTGGCTCGGTCAACTGACAGGATGAACTGAAAGGAAAACAATCTGCATTAAATACAACTCCACTACAGTTACACAAACACAACTGTGACATTTAAACTTATGATCTAAAGTTGTCAAACTTTTACTGTGGCATACTTTCGGAAAGTCCTAGACTTTAGACAAATAATAAGAAATGTTATGGCATCTTTCCCTCTCATACTAATAGTCTATTATAGGCAGAAATGGGATCAAGTTGTAGGCCTTATTTACCAGAAAGTCAAAATGACAAGATATAGTAATACCTCATTACCATGTGAATAACAATCAAATCTACTAAGATATGGTTTTGACTAATAGGTTTAGTATAATAGGACTAACTAACCTTTATGTCTGTGTTGGACTATGGCAATGTATGTATGAATGAATCTTCTAAAGGCCTAAACTCTTTGGATGCATCTACCACAGACATTTAGAACAAACCATAGAAACCCTTGAACACAACTTAGCTCCTTGTATGCTCGGGTTGGATGGTTTGCGCTTACCACCCGTAGACTGAAACATTGGCATATCCTAATTTATAGGGCTATTCTTGGTGTAATTCTCAGTGTTATTCTTGGTGTTATTCTTCTATCTTACAGGACAGGACATGTTTTGACTAACTGTTCTAATAGTCCACACTGAGCAAAGGGAGTTTAGTTCTGCTGCTCCTGTTGCCTTGAACCAGCGGAAATATGATCTGAAACTCCGAGAGCTGCTCCTCTAAACAGATGTAAAGTGCTTCTGAATGACCGAGAAACAGCAGCTCCGTAGATGCTTCGTGTGATGGTGTTTCTGACTGTGATCATTTCATTCTCTCTATCCCTTTCCAAACATAACAAACTAATCTCTTCCCATCCTACACTTGTCCGCCGTAACCTTCGCTCCCTCTCTCCCTCTACCTTTGCCTCGTCGGTGCTCTCTGCCCTCCCTTCCTCTGATTCGTTCCAACTACTGCCTCCAAACTCTGCTGCAGAAACTCTCCTCTCTACTCTCTCATCCACTCTGGACTCGCTCTGTCCTCTGACATCTCGGCAGGCTCGTCAGTCCCCTCCGGCTCCCTGGCTAAATGATGCACTGCGTGCTAATAGAACCGTCCTTAGGGCAGCAGAGCGGAAATGGTGGAAATCCAAACACCGTGACGACCTCCTAACCTATCAAGCTCTCCTCTCCTCTTTCTCTGCTTCGATCTCTCAGGCAAAAAGCACTTTCTTTCAAGATAAGATCCAATCTTCCTATTCCAATCCTAAAAAACTATTTTCCATCTTCTCCACCCTCTTGGACCCTCCAAAAGCTCCTCCCCCCTCCTCACTTCTGTCAAGCGACTTTGTTACCCACTTTGAAAAAAAGGTTAATGATATTCGCTCTTCTTTTTCTGACTCACCTTTACTCACCGCTGGGTCACCAGACCCTCCTTCCACCAACACACTGACCTCCTTTTCCCCTCTCTCTCCAAGTGAGGTTCTTACCCTCATTACCTCTGCCCGCCCCTACCACCTGTCCTCTGGACCCTATCCCTTCAAACCTCCTTCAGACTATCGCTCCTGATATTCTACCGTTTCTCACCCATTTCATCAACACTTCTCTAACTTCTGGTCACTTTCCAAACAGTCTCAAGGAGGCAAGAGTAAACCCTCTCCTAAAGAAACCCACTCTCAACCCGTCTGATGTTATAAACTACAGGCCTGTCTCTCTCCTCCCGTTCCTGTCTAAATCACTTGAACGCGCTGTCTTTAAACAACTCTCCTGTTATCTCAATCAGAACAACCTTCTGGATCCGCACCAGTCTGGTTTCAAGGCAGGTCACTCCACAGAAACTGCTCTCATTGCTGTCACGGAGGAACTGCACACTGCCAAAACTGCATCCCTCTCCTCTGTCATCATCCTGTTGGACCTGTCTGCTGCATTCGACACGGTGAATCATCAGATCCTCCTTCGCACTCTCCAAAAACTTGGAGTTTCAGGCTCTGCACTTTCCCTCCTCACCTCATACCTGAAAGACCGTACCTACAGGGTGACTTGGAGAGGGTCTGAGTCCGACCCTTGTCAATTAACTACGGGGGTCCCTCAGGGCTCTGTTCTTGGTCCCCTCCTCTTCTCCTTGTACACAAACTCGCTCGGATCAGTCATTAGCCCGCATGGTTTTTCTTACCACTGCTACGCTGATGACACCCAATTAATTCTGTCCTTTCCCCGCTCAGAGACCCAGGTCGTTGCACGCATCTCTGCTTGTCTAGCTGACATCTCTCAGTGGATGTCTGCTCACCACCTCAAGCTCAACCTTGACAAGACTGAGCTGCTCTTCCTCCCGGGAAAAGATTGTCCCACTCTTGACCTAACAATCAACATCGGCACCTCAGTTGTTTCCCCGACTCAGACTGCAAGGAATCTGGGTGTGACCCTAGATAACAACCTGTCCTTCAATGCAAACATCGCTGCTACAACCCGCTGCTGCAGATACACGCTTTACAACATCAGGAAGATACGTCCCCAGCTGACTCAGAAAGCGACTCAGGTTCTGGTCCAGGCTCTCGTCATCTCACGCCTAGACTACTGCAACTCCCTCCTGGCTGGTCTACCTGCATGTGCCATCCGACCTCTGCAGCTCATCCAGAATGCAGCGGCTCGTCTGGTTTTCAACCTTCCTAAATTCTCCCACACCACTCCGCTCCTCCGCTCCCTTCACTGGCTTCCGGTAACTGCTAGAATCCACTTCAAGACACTGGTACTTGCTTACCGTGCTGCGAATGGATCTGGCCCTTCCTACATCCAGGACATGGTTAAACCGTACACCCCAGCGCGTGCACTACGCTCTGCATCAGCCAAACGACTCGTTGCGCCCTCGCTGCGAGGGGGACCCAAGTTCTCATCGGCGAAAACACGTGGGTTTGCTATCCTGGCTCCAAGATGGTGGAATGAGCTCCCCATTGACATCAGGACGGCAGATAGCTTGCACATCTTCCGGCGCAAACTGAAAACTCATCTCTTTCGACTCCACTTCGAGCGTTAGAATGATTAACGAAGCACTTTTATACTAATAAAGGACTGGCTTACCTAAAGCCAGTTGAGTAGCACTTGAAATGTTTGGCTCTATGAAACCTGATATACTTATATGATTCTGTTTTCTTCAAGGTTGTGTCTTCCTGGTCGAATGTACTTATTGTAAGTCGCTTTGGACAAAAGCGTCAGCTAAATGCAATGTAATGTAATGTAATGTAATATGTTCTCTTTACTTGTTTTTAATGTGTTGTCTGTCACTCTGCTGCTGCCTATCTTGGCCAGGACTCTCTTGTAAACAGTGGTGTAAAATAACTAGGTATATTTACTCAAGTACTATACTTGAGTACACTATTAAGGTACTTTACTTGAGCATTTCAATTTTTTGCAACTTTGTACTTCTACTCGACTACAATTCAGAGGTACATTTTGTACTTTTACTCCACTACATGTATTTAATACCTTTAGTTACTTTACAGATCTGGATGAATGATGTGAAATATAACCAAGTGTTAAATCAGACTTTAGTTCCACCTGGAGTAAATCCACCAGCTACCCTGCAGTATACAAAGTCATTCAAACTAGCTGCACCTTTACCAGCTTTGAGAACACTTTCATGATCAATCATTATAAAACATATCATAGATATATTATGCTGAAATGGACCAATCTGCACAATGACTACTTTTACTGTCGCTACTTTAACTATATGTTGATGCTAATACTTTTCAACTTGAGTAACATTTTGAATGCAGAACTTTTACTTGTAACAGAGTATTCCTACACTCTGGTACTTCTACTTTTACTCAAGTACAAGATCTGAGTACTTCTCCCACTTCCGCTTGTAAAACCTAAAATGAATCTCAGTGAGACTTTAATAAAGGTTAAACCAAAAAATGAATGACATTGTTGTGTGTTTAGTCTGTTGTTATTATTATAAAATGGGCATTTGTATCTGTGAATGACTTGAGTCCTACATTTGGCAGGAGGATAAACTGTCTTCAGTGATTCTGCCTCTTTCCGGGTGTTGCATGATGTTTACACTCTAGCAAAGACTTACCTGGCCTTTCTTTCCATAAGGGATCGGGGACTGTTTCCCACTTGGGGAATGGATCATTCTCGCATGCATGGGGATCCCCTGGGAGACAATCTGAGGAAAAACACATGGGTCAAACTTTTAAATGACACTAATGTAGGATAAATAATGATGTTCTTGTAAGTCTTATTCTACATAAGCTGTCTTGCTAAGTAAATGTCAATTCTCTGCACCCAACATTCTCCTCTGTCATCATCCTGTTGGACCTGTCTGCTGCATTCGACACGGTGAATCATCAGATCCTCCTTCACACTCTCCAAAAACTTGGAGTTTCAGGCTCTGCACTTTCCCTCCTCACCTCATACCTGAAAGACCGTACCTACAGGGTGACTTGGAGAGGGTTTGAGTCCGACCCTTGTCACTTAACTACAGGGGTCCCTCAGGGCTCTGTTCTTGGTCCCCTCCTCTTCTCCCTGTACACAAACTCGCTCGGATCAGTCATTAGCCCGCATGGTTTTTCATACCACTGCTACGCTGATGACACCCAATTAATTCTGTCCTTTCCCCGCTCAGAGACCCAGGTCGTTGCACGCATCTCTGCTTGTCTAGCTGACATCTCTCAGTGGATGTCTGCTCATCACCTCAAGCTCAACCTTGACAAGACTGAGCTGCTCTTCCTTCCGGGAAAAGATTGTCCCACTCTTGACCTGAAAATCAACATCGGCACCTCAGTTGTTTCCCCGACTCAGATTGCAAGGAATCTGGGTGTGACCCTAGATAACAACCTGTCCTTCACTGCAAACATAGCTGATACAACCCGCTGCTGCAGATACACGCTTTACAACATCAGGAGGATACGTCCCCAGCTGACACAGAAAGCGACTCAGGTTCTGGTCCAGGCTCTCGTCATCTCACGCCTAGACTACTGCAACTCCCTCCTGGCTGGTCTACCTGCATGTGCCATCCGACCTCTGCAGCTCATCCAGAATGCAGCGGCTCGTCTGGTCTTCAACCTTCCAACATTTTCCCACACCACTCCGCTCCTCCGCTCCCTTCACTGGCTTCCGGTAACTGCTAGAATCCACTTCAAGACACTGGTACTAGCGTACCATGCTGCTAATGGATCTGGCCCTTCCTACATCCAGGACATGGTTAAACCGTACACCCCAGCACGTGCAATCCGCTCTGCATCAGCCAAACAGCTCGCTGCACCCTCGCTGCGAGGGGGACCCAAGTTCCCATCAGCAAAAACATGTGGGTTTGCTATCCTGGCTCCAAAATGGTGGAATGAGCTCCCCATTGACATCAGGACAGCAGAAAGCTTACACACCTTCCGGTGCAGACTGAAAACTCATCTCTTTCGACTCCACTTCGAGCGATATAATTACTAACAAAGCACTTATATACTAATAAAGGACTGGCTTAGCTAAAGCCAGTTGAGTAGCACTTGAAATGTTTGGCTCTATGAAACCTGATGTACTTATATGATTCTGTTTTCTTCAAGGTTGTGTCTTCCTGGTCGAATGCACTTATTCTAAGTCGCTTTGGATAAAAGCGTCAGCTAAATGTAATATAATGTAAAACAAGCCTTGTTGTGTCAGTGTGAAGAAAAAGGCTTGTTTCTGATGCAGAGTTCTCATCTCAAGCATACATAACATGCTCAGTGGGACTCCTGATGCCGTAATAAACCATCTTGAGTAAAGCAAAGGAAAGCCTGGTGGACAGACTCCCTGAGGCCCAGCTAATAAGAAAAAAAAGATCAATAAGATGGTTTTTAACAGAACAATGTGACCTTAGAAAAGAAGAAACCAAGATATTTAGGGCCAAAAATGTGTCCTCTGCTCAGAGATTTTATTTATAGTAAAGCTGCCTTTCATTCAGCATATTCAGGCAGCAGCCTATACACCAACACTGAAACACATGAGCACATACTACAGTTTGAAAAAGCAGAAATTAAATATGAGCTGACACAAAATGCTCTGTTTTAGTTTAATACAGTTAAGCTCACACACACTATGAACATATAGGTTCACCTGCTGAATTAAAAACAGAACAAATGAAGCAAAGAAAGTGAAAACCATAAAGCAGACTCAGGCAGTAGAAGTATAGATTCACTCTTAAAGTGTTAGCCTACAGCACAGTACAGCTGACAGAGAAGAGACAACATCTGATCCTTTACAACAAACATGCTCTTTTTAGTTTTTTAGACACATTGTTATCCTGCTTGTAATCCCATTTTTTTTTTTAAATGTAACAGTAATCTGATTATGTCTTTTGTATGTAACTGTAAGGGAAAACAGTTGCCTTTTTTGAAATCCTAATTACATGTGATCCGTTACTCCCCATGCTTGTAAATAACCTCCACAAGTATTTGTTTCTTCCAATACCCAAACTCTGGTCACTATACCCCTGCAGCCCTGAGAGCAATCTTATCTCATTTCCTCAACATTAGATAAACAGTGTTTTGACCAACATACCTTGTCCTCCATCCCAACGTGCTTCAGTGCCTGGCGGCCCCTGTGAGACAGAGCCAGGTTGATGCTTCTTCCCTTCACCACTTTGGCTTGTCGGATATCTGAGCAGAATCAGACAAAGTGTTAATCTTACTTTTGTGAATGTGTGGTTATCAGTTGAAAAGGCTCTGATTTGGTGTGGATATTGATTATTATAATGTTGATTCATGGGTTATTCCTCAAAGAGGGCATTGATTGAAGATGTTATTTGAACACTACCTTCCCGAGTTTCAAAGACTTCCACATCAAAGCCTCTTTTGGCGAAGTAGCAGGCGTTCAGCGCCCCAACCTGAGGGGTGAAGGACAGACATCTTGCAAAATCAATCAATCACATTTGATTTATACAGCCTGATATCACAAGTTAAACATTTACCTGTTTAAATCGGTTTAAATCTGTACAATCACATTGCTTTATACTGTCATACAGAAATAATGATCTCTTTACTAAATGATATTAACACTATATGCTGCATAGTCATACTACACACTCTTTTGGTAACTTGTTTCCTATTTTCCACATTGGTAAATGCAAATAAAAAATGTCTTATCTGCTTCTTTCAATTTCAAAATCGGAATAAGAATACTGATTACCTACTCACTTTGAAGGAAGACAGACACCAAATGTAGTCATGAGATTAAATGACAAGATCTAGGACTAAAATAGTTAAATATTACACTTTTCTTTTCTTACCAACCCTCCGCCAACTACTGCAACTTTCTTCGGGGTTAATCTGCCGGTTGGTTCCTCCATTGTGCTTGAGGTTCTCTGGCGCTCTGACCCGCTCACTGTCTGGTTCAGAGTGATTTACAGAAGTAGTGGGTAATGATTTATAATAGTAGGAGGAGCACAGTGAGTCCCATGAAAGTCCCTTCCCAACTCAGTTCCCCTTTCAACAAGCAAACACAAGGAACATATAACCGAGGGCTCTCTGAGCACTTTCTGGAAGCCTGAAGGCCTGATGTCCTTGTAGACTGCTTTAGAGGGACTTCCTGCTATAGGTTTTTTATTTTTAAAGAATCCTGCAATTATTAAAATAATGTTCAGACAACAGCTAAAAGGCACATCTTTTTGGGTTAGCTTTTCCTTATCAACACCCCCCTTTGAAATGGTCTTTAACTCTTTATGTATTTATTGTATTGTTTTATTTAATTTATAGGTGTTTTCCTTATATAATTTATTTAAAAGATTTATTTGCGACATTTCAAGTTAGTCTTTTAATATTTTAATCTTAATTCAAAATTAAATCTTTATTATATTTATTTTAATGTATACATTTATTTTATTATATTTATTTTATTAATTTGTTGACACAAAATGGACTCTAAATAACCCCAATGAACAATAACAATCCACCACACCTTGAACTTTATGTTATGATATGTCTTTGCCCTGTGCTGTGTGTTGTACTTTTTATTGTATGTTGAATTGTATGGAACAAGCTGTAATACTCTGCACTGAACACGAATTCCACCAGCCTGGCTGTGTGGTCATTAAAGATTCTAATCTAATCTAATCATTTCATTTTGTATGTCTTCCTTTATCTGTCCGAGGGATCATTATTTATTGTATTTTATTTGCAGACCTTTCAATTCAATTCAATTCAAAACCTTTATTTATCCAGGTAAAATCCCATTGAGATCAATGATCTCTTTTTCAAGGGAGACCTGCAGCAGTAGGTTCCACAAGAAGACATAAACAACAGAACAACAAAAGGACATCATACAGCAAAATGTACAGGGATTACAATTTACATATTTAACCACAAGTACAGGTACCAACAGCATCTGATTTTGTAGCATCCAACCGAGCTTTAAAAACATGTAGTGGTACTAGCTTGGTAATTTTCCATTATTTTTGCAGACTGTTCCATGTTAGTGGAGCTGCACATCTAAAAGCTTTCTTCCCTAAGACAGTCCTAGCACTTGGCACATTTAATAAAACCACAGCATGCGATCTCAGGCAATAAGTACTTTCAATTCGCAGAGAGATCAGGGAGCGGATATAAGATGGTAGTTTATCCAACATGGCTTTGTAAATGAAAAAGTACCAGTGACTGAGCCTCCGTACAGTAAGTGATGGCATAACCGCCTTGGTATACAGGATACAGTGATGCGTAAGTGCTTTACAATTTGTCAAAAATCTCAGTGCACTGTGATACGCAGCATCTAACTTGCTCAGGTAATTGGCAGGTGCATTCATATATAACAAATCACCATAATCCAGCACAGGTAAAAAGGTCACAGTGACTAGCCTTTTCCTGGCCTCAAGCGAGAAACAGGACTTATTTCTGTAAAAGAAACCTAGCCTAACCCTCAGCTTTTTAAGCAGGTTATTGACATGAAGTTTAAAAGTGAGACAGTCATCAAGCCAGATACCCAAGTATTTGTAACAGGTAACCACTTCAAGTTGTATTTCTTGCATAGTTACAATATCCAAAGCAGTCTCTGGTGTATTTTTAGCTTTAGCTTTAGAAAAGAGCATTACCTTGGTTTTATCCACATTTAAAAGAAGCTTAAGCTCAGAGAGCTGCGCCTGAATAATGATAAAAACAGCCTGTAATTTAACAACAGCCTCGTTAATCGAGGGACCTGCACAGTACATCGGTATCGTCCGCATAAAAATGTAAGGTTGCTCCTTCGACATTTTCACCTAAACTATTAATATAGATAGAGAATAATAGCGGACCTAAAACTGAACCTTGTGGTACACCATTAGTGATGTTTAACCACTCAGAAGACAGCCCATCAAACTGAACACATTGGGATCTTTCAGAGAGGTAGTTTACAAACCACTCTACTGCATGGCTGGACATGCCTATACTGACCAGCCTTTGCTTCAAAATGCAATGATCGACAGTATCAAAAGCTTTGGATAGGTCAACAAATAGAGCTGCACAACTCTGCTTATTATCTAAAATACTCGTAATATCATTTACCACTTTCATTGGGGCAGTGATGGTGCTATGTTGCTTTCTGAAGCCTGACTGATGTTTAGACAGGATGTCATTGTTACATAAAAACTCCTTTACCTGTTCACTCACTAGGCGTTCAAGAACCTTGGCCAGAACTGACAACTTAGAGATGGGTCTATAATTGTTTAATAAGGTGGCCTCCCCTCCTTTTAGTAGTGGCAGGACATAAGCTGACTTCCATACTTTTGGGATTTTGTTCGTGCTGAGGGAGAGGTTAAAAAGAGTAGTAAGAGGTGGAGCAATAAAATCTGCAGCTATCTTTAAAAAGAAAGGTTCTACGTTGTCCGGACCAGCCGGCTTTTTAGGATCTAGCTTTGACCTCCTTGTGTCTCTTAAACTGTTAAAATGTTATATTATGTTACTATGCTGCATATTTCCAAAAAGGTTTTACCGTCTGATCTGAGGGGAATTTCTTGTTCTCTGTTTTAATTTGTGGTGTGTGCAATTGTGTTAAAGCACTTCGAGCTGCACCTGCTGTATGAAAAGTGCTATACAAATAAAGCTTTATTATTACAATGATAACCTATTTGTGTGTAGTCCATTGTACAAATAGTTAAATAAGGAAAAACAAAGAAGACACGAAGATGAAAGGAGTTATTTCAGGTAGGGAATGTCTTTAAACAAGGAAAACAATCTGTCACCATCTAGTGGTTGAAAGGTGAACTTCAGTGGCTACATAACCACTCCTCATGACACATGTTTCTTCTCATTATATTAACGAAGCGACTTTAAAGCTGAACCTAGTGCATCACCGAAGACCATAGATGTAACCTACTACAGCCATATACTAAAGCGTGCCACCAAAAATAAGAAAGGCAAAACTAAAGTGGCAAGATCTTCAAACCTGCCCGGTGGCTAACTAGTCAGGGTGATCAAAAATGAAATTGCAGGCTGGTGAAACAATCAACTAAACAAAGAACAACACCCACACATTAACTCACACCAATCTGTACAAAGCAAACAACGGCCACGAGATACAGACAAATACACATTTACCTCACCTCATGGACGTTCAATCTGACGAGTCCCCATTTATTACGCCCCACCCTTAAAATGGCCCTATGGGGCTAACACAATTCCACCACTGACCCAAATAGAACACAGAAGACACCTTTAATATAATCAAATCCATAGGATTCATTATAATCAAACATAGTGTACAAACATCCATCCTGGCCAGAGAGCTCTCTCTCCTGCTGCTGAACTGGAGCTTTTAACCTCTTCCTTCTCCAGCTGCACTTCATCTGAACTTCGTTGCAGCAACGCAGCACACCTGGGTAGAGGAACTAGAGGGAAAAACTAATAGGGAACACATACAGCCGTAACATGTGAATAATCTAAACTCAAAATCCCTCCATTTTAATGTAGGCTATGTGGAATTTCCCCCAATGCCAGTACAAAGATAGCTAAATACAGACATCTCAATCAATTAGAATATCGTGGAGGGGTTGATTAATTTCAGTATTTCTATTTAAAAACTCATATATTATATAGATTCATTTCACAAAAAGTGAATTATTTCAAGTGTTTATTTGTTTAGATCTTGATGATTTCGGTTTACAGGTAATGACAATCCAAATTTCAGTTTCTCAGATTTTTTTTATAATACATGACCAATACAAAAATGTATTTTAAATACAAAAATGTCGGCCTTCTCAAAAGTCTGTTAACCCTCCTGTTGTCTTCGGGTCAAATCTGACCGATTTACTACTTTAATCAATCATAACTTTTTTGTTTTACATTAGATTGAATTAAGGCTTTATGATATAATAATAATAATAATAAATGTAATTTATATAGAGCTTCTCATCTGCCAAGACAAATCTCGAAGCGCTTATACAAAATATCCTTCACATTAGACATTTGAACATATAACATTGCTGACCACCACTTTCATTGAATTTTGGATGATTTAGACAACTTTGTAACACCCATGGTGTTCCCGGTCAAAAATGACCGCCATAAAGAAAAGGAATTAGTAACCATCCGGATCAGATAAAATACACACACACACACACACATACCATGTAGCCTATACATCACTTCAGGGGACATTACATTGACTTACATGCATTTCCTGGAGACTTATCCTAACCTTAACCATAACCAACACATGCCTAACCCTTACCCTTACCCTAACCCTAATCCTAAACCTAACCAAGTCTTCACCCTAAAATTAATGATTCCCCTCATGGGGACCTCCAATTTGTCCCCATAAGAGAGGCGAGTCCCCACACGTGACTGTGTAAACAGATACACACACACACACACACACACACACACACACACACACACACATCCTCTAGATGTGTGTCCTCCCTTATGTGCCCAATCCCCCCATGTGAATTACACCTGGCACGCACACACAAACACACACACACAGAACAATTTGACACATTTCCCGCTCTTATGTGCCCATCCCCCCACATGGATCACACCTGGCACACGCAATACATGTTCAGTGTCTGTTCTTTCTATATTTACTGCCGTTGTTCATGTATACCAGTAGTCTGATACAATATGTACAGTTTGAAAGGGTGTTAAATGAAATTTGGTGATGATTAATGGTTTTGGTGTTAATGTAATAGCAGTTAATACACGACCGGTCAAATTTGACCGCGAACACCAAAGTAAGGGGGGGAACACTAAGACAATAGAAGGGTTAATGTTTCTGCTCTCAGTACTTGGTTGGACCTCCTTTTGAACAAATGACTGCATCAATTGGGCGTGGCATGGAGGCGACCAGCCTGTGGCCCTGCTGAGGTGTGATGGGGCCAGGGTGCTTCCATAGCGGCCTTCAGCTCGTCTGCATTGTTGGGTCTTGTGTCTCTCATCTTCCTTTGACAATAGGTTAGGCTGGCCAATCAAGCACAGTTATTCCATGGTCATTCAACAAGGTTTTGGTACTTTTGGCATTGTGGGCAGGTGCCAAGTCCTGCTTGAGAATGAAATCAGCATATCCATAAAGCCTTTTAGAAGAAGAAAGAATGAAGTGCTCTAAAATGTCCTGGTAGACGGCTGAGTTAACTTTGGACCACTTTTTTCAATATTCTAATTATCTGAGATATTTAATTGTGGGTTTTCCTTAGATGTAAGCCGTAATCATCAAGATAACCACTTGAAATAATTAACTTTGTTTGAAATTAATCTATATAATATAGGCCTAGGAGTTTCACTTTTTAAATAGAATTACTTAAATGAATAAACTTTTCCACAATATTCAAATGTATTGAGATGTACATCTTGATGTCTTTAAAACAAAGAAAGATATTCTTAAGCAGTTCCTTTTCTTAGCCTGCCCATCATCGTATATCCTGCATATTATGTGTAAATAACACAACATGAGACAAATAGTTTCTCTGGGTAATCCACATTAACCACAGTGATATTCAATATCCTGCTTTTCTAACTCATGTTTCACTTGATTTGGAACCAGAAAAATCTGTATCTGTTTTGAAAAAAGGAACCTCACATTTGTTATCAATATTAAAGTTTTATCCATACATGTTTGTCAGACCTTTTTAAAATGTAAATGTTTATACATATATTTTACACACATACATATAGGGGATACATATACGTACGTATTCAATTGATACGTACGTTTTTCTGTAGGCCTACAGATACTGTTCTCATTAAATAAAAAAGTGAATTATGCTTTATATTTTGACAATCCGCATCTACAGAAGATGTGACGCAGAAAAACTTGAAACCCAATCTGATAGGCTGAACGTAAACGGAAATCTGCACGCAGGCTTTCTAATCGATATCAGTAGGAATGACACAACATATTTCCAAAAATATACAAAAGATGTTGAAGTGTGCCAGTCACGGTACCTTCTGCTCTCTAATTGATAGTCACTCTCGTTGTCAGTTGCCAAATTAATGGTAGAATAGTGATATACCATGTTGAATTACGCTGGGCTCTGTGCTCTATTACCTTTCCCTATTCAAATATGGCGCAGTAAAAGCCAAGGTTTGTTTTTCATGGGTGCAAAGTATGTTTAAGTGCATTAACCGAACCGCCCAGTTTAAGAGATACATCCACTCAGCAGGCAGCAGTTTCTCTATCAAGCTCAATTTTAGGTAAGTGTTGTAAAGCAAATTTCCAAACCTTTTGTTAAAAAATACATAATTTATTTGAACACCAAACGGAAGGCTAGCTAGCTACTGAAACTAAAGCCGGGTTGTTGACCTGACTCTGTTAGCTTTGTTGCTACTTAGGGAGGTGGATAACAACGGGTAGTCTGCCTAGCTTCTGCATTATAAATAAACTATAATACGTTTTACAACGGCTGGGAATTACATATTACCATAACATGAGAAATACGAACAAGGTCGCTTTTTTAGAGTTCGTGTTGCTGAGTTCGCAAGCTAACACTAGCTTGTATTATGTGAGGGGATTATTGTATACTCTAGCGAGTACCGGTTGCTAATCTCTGCTGTACTGTGTACGAAGTAGCTGTATTTAAGTCTATAATCAACCACCTTAAATTAAATTGTGAATCATGAAATATCTTTAACAGCTGTTTTTGTCTATGTAACTGTATTTGGTGGAAGAAGTACTTGGATGATTAATGTAGGTAAATGAGGCAATACTGCAGTGTAGAAATGCTGTTTCAAGTAGTCAAAGTCAATTTAATGGTCAATTTCTCTGTGTGTAATACAAAACAGCGGATCCAGTTCTCACCGTCCCAAAGAATACAAATACATAAATATATATGTATATATACATACACACACACACACACACTCACACATACATCCACACAATATGATGTATACATAAACTATGACATGACACTAAATGTATGAAAAGAAAAGTCTACACACACATTTGGAAAGAACACGGGTGTTAATCTAGTCCAGTAGACAAAAGTTCAAAAACAGTTTTACTTGACAACAGTAAAAATATATACAGAAGTGTTGTAAAAGAAATGTCCGTAGCAGTACAAGTTCTGCATTCAAAAATGTACTTGTAAAAAAAGTATTAGAATAAAAAATACTTACTCGTTATGCAACACTTAATATGTAAAATAAACGTAGTGGAGTAAAAAGTACAACATTTGGCTACAACATGTAGTGAAGTACAAGTTTAAAGTAGCATAAGTTGAAAATAGATAATTAAAGTACTTTAATGTTTACTTAAGTACAGTACTTGAGTAAATGAACTTACATTACACCACTGAGTCCTATTGTAGCAATACAAACGAAAGCTATTAATACATCTTCCAAACATGTTGTATGTTACAGAAGAGCTGTTCATAACTGCAACGTGTTCATTTAATAAATAAAATCAATAAATGCTATACTCACAGTTATTCTAGATCAACCATGAGTTTTCTTTCATACTGATGTAACCATCATATCATCAGAATATGAACTGGGCTGAAAAGCCTTCTTGGCCAGCTGCACCAACATTTAAATACACATGTTGTCCTCTCCATTGCAGGCTGGTGTCATCCTTGCCTCTCAGAATGACCGACCCGGCTGTGAACAGGGTGGTTAGTGAAATCATTCGCTCTCCGGAAGACAAACGGGTTTACAGGGGCTTGGAGTTTACCAATGGCCTGAAGGCGATGCTCATCAGTGACCCAACCACAGACAAATCCTCAGCTGCTTTGGATGTCCAAATAGGTAAAGGTCTTTCATCTCTACTGTCTTGCCAGGTAGGCATGTATTTCCATGTGAATATCCTTTCCTCACACATTTGTGGAAAGAAATTGGGAAAATATATGTAAATCACTTTTTCCCTGTAGGCTATGAAACTAGTCCACATTATTGTAAAATTCACGGGGGAAAACGTTGTTCGCTATAATAACCTTCATAGCGTTACATCGATGCTGGCTAAACTTTTGTCCTGTCCTATTTGAAGTCACTGTGTAAGTCAAAATACTCCTGTCACCATGACCTGGCAACACAATATTACCATTTACCAACCTGCTTTCCAATTGACTGATGAGACCGTTCAGTTGCCCAGGATAAACAAAAGTTGTGACTTCCACATAAATGTTGTCTCTCTGACTAAGCAATAAGTACTTTTCATTTACTGCAGATGGAAGAAATGATGATGATGATGATGATCATGATGAAACTGAGTTTTTATGGACAATGATCTTCTCCCCATGAGCAGCGATAGTAAAAGTGCAGTTAAATGTTACCAAGTAACCTGTGTAATATTATAATATGTCAGATATCTCAGCAAAGGTTACTCCTAATTATTTAACTGATATTTAGATAATATACCTTCAACAAATCAATTGCAAAAACATGTTGTTTTTAATATTGTAAATCCTGTACAACCCTTTGAACATGTTGCACTTTTCGGTTCCACACTACCTCTTTTTAATTCTGCACAGCTTTCATTTGAATAATAGTATTTGTCATATTTTAATAATAAAACCGATTCTGATTTCTGAGTGAATGTAATTCTGTCTACAATAATGTAGCCCTTGTTATGCCATAACACACAAGGATTATTGTGGCTCTTTGATTTCTTCCTCAGTCTGGCCAACTTATCTATCACACTGAAAAATCAAGAAGTTGTAAACTTGAATGAACTGAGAAGTACATATTTTCTTCTTAAATTCCCAGGTTCATTATCAGACCCATCGAACATCTCAGGCCTGGCACACTTCTGTGAGCACATGCTGTTTCTGGGAACAGAGAAGTACCCGAAGGAAAATGAGTACAGCCAGTTCCTCAGTGAGCATGCCGGCAGCTCCAACGCCTTCACCAGTGGAGAGCACACCAACTATTACTTCGACGTGTCCCACGAGCACCTGGAAGGAGCACTAGATAGGTAATGCTCTCCTGTTCATGTTGCCATGTTCCAAAAGTTAATACAGGAAACGTTTTTAAATGTTTATGAGAGAATTTAGTTCTGTGTTTTTTTTGGGTGTGTTCAGCTTTATTCATTTGTGTGGACTTCTCAACATGGTCATGGCTTATCCAGCAGCTAGCATGTAACAGTGCTATTGGTAGCTTTTGGCAAACATGTTCCACACATTAAAACCACTTTTAAGATTTTTGAAGTGTAAATGCAATCGCCAGGAGGAGAAAGCTAACATTATGCTATAAAGGAACTGCATCACAGTCACATGAGTTGCATCACCACTGCTAAGCTACATGCGGCTACTGTTTATTAGTCTAATTTAGCAACCACTGTTTTTATTTCACATATCCAGCTTGGACTTCACCCGAGGAATATTATTTACTGATATATGTTATGTCATGGAACAACCACAGACCTTATTTCAGCCAACTAACCAAAAACATTTTCAAAAAAACATTGACCTAGAGACGAGGGAACCGGATACGATAAAACGCTGACTCATTCTGGGTTTTAGGACTCATTCTTACAGCTCTCTAACAGGACGGTTGTCTCTCTCTGCCTACATGCTTGTTTATTTATCAGTAGTATACAATATTTCCCTTGGGATTCCAATTGTTAGCTTAAGTGAGCTGCCAGGTTGTCTTCTGTCCGCCTTTGGTTACCAGACCAAACTTCACTGTGCTTGTTTTGTAACCATTCATTGGTACCCCCCGCTCGGTCTAGAAACCCTAAGCACAGTGTGAGACTGATGTCCTCAGCCTCGCAGGGGTCTCTGCTCACGTGTCAGCTGTGGTGGTGTGGGTGGATTCAGAATTCAACCCGCTGGGATAAGCTTACCTAATTATAAATGAATGATAGTCTAGCAAGCACCTGTTTATTTGGGTTAATTGTTCCCCTGTGGCGCAGCATTGTGAAGACCATCTGGACTGTTGTTGTAGGAAAGGATAGTGCAGGTTGTATTGACAAATTGATGATGTTGCCGCTTTGAAAATAGTAGAGTGTCTAAAATGATGATATATGTTGCTAGCTAGCTCTATAAATCACAATACCTTTTATTAGTCCCACAGAGGGGAAATGAACAATGGACCTCAGTAGCTCAGTCTGTAGGGACTGGGTTGAAATCCTGGGCCCACAGTGTGACTGGTACTTGGGCACTGCCGGGCACTGCCAGGCACTACCAGGCAGTGTATATCAATGAGCAGGAAGGCTATATACCGAATGCCATCATCATGGCATATACTTGATAATGAGTGAAAAATAGATTCATAAAACAAAAATAAATAAATATATATTTTGCAAGCCTACACCGTAACAGAGAATCAGAAGTGCTTAATAGGCTACATTTCATTGTGTTTTTCCATTTCCATTAAATTAACCATACCATTGCCATAATTATCATGATCACTTCATTTTATAATTTAACCAATTTGGTGACTTTTGACAAGACAAAATAAAACATGACATTTTTAGTTCTGTCCATACTCCTGTGCTATTTGCTGTTATTTCAATGGGGAAATATGCAAAACATTTTGAGCAAAACACCCACCTTTTGTATGCGTACGTTACAAGAACAGCTTTTGTTGCTAAGGCAACATTTATACTTGATAATTGCAATCTTGCAAAAAATAGCACTCTGCAAATCTTTATGGGCTTGTTAGCGCTGTAATATCATAAGGGCAATGTCTTAATTGAGCAATTGAATTGGACCTTGAGACGAGCCAGATACGGTAACAATTGATGCACAACTCGTGGGGCTATCAGTGGCTGCAATCCATTCTTTGTGCCTTTGTGTTTCGTGTGCTGATTACTTAAAGAATTGCCACAGAAATCTGGTACTTTAAGCACATTCCCTTTTGATGCCTGCATAAATCGGCAAAAGCTGAGCCGTGACATAGCTTTAGAAACATTCAAAGGTTGTTTCTGTTTCTGGTTCCTCGTTTGTTTGGCAGTTGCTCTCACTTTGTACTCATGCAAATACATTTGAATCATGTCCTGCTTCATGTTCTTTTGTGTATACAAATGGTCCTTTGCATGTATCCCAGAACAGCATTAAAGCATATCTTTGTGCTGTTGAAAAAGCATCCAGTCTCAGTAATATTATCATTATTACAATCTCCGTAGGTTTGCCCAGTTCTTCCTGTGCCCTCTGTTTGATGAGAGCTGTAAGGACCGGGAGGTGAACGCTGTGGACTCTGAGCACGAGAAGAACCTGATGAATGACGCCTGGAGGCTGTTCCAGTTGGAGAAGGCCACCGGCAACCAAGACCACCCCTTCAGTAAATTTGGAACAGGTAGAGCATCTCTTAGGTTTCCTCTGATCTACACGCATGACATTTCTAACACTGTTTTAACACTGTTTTGTGTTTTATATTTGTGCAAGCTTCAATGGCCACCTGATGGCAGTCTTGAATGATTTATTTACTCAAGTTAAGAATGGAACATGTTTTTTCTGTCCCTGCCTTTTTATAGAAAATGAAATATGGTTCATTTACAGATGGCAGGCAAGGTAGCATGTGCAGGTGCATGAAAGGCTACAGTCTCTGGGTTGGATGTTTAAATGCTCAGATGTTTATGCATCATCGGTAGTCTCAAAAGAGCAAGAGTGCAACCTGTGCGGTGATCATTATCTGTCCATTCCCCATAATGCTTTGTCTAATAATAAAAAAACTGTGACTTTGATATCAAACTGATTTGATGATTCCCCCCCCCCCCCCCCTTTTTGTATTAGACTTGCAAAGTTGTCATTTAACTCGGTCATGGAGTTGTCTTGGCATGATTCTGAACAGCAGATATTCACTGTACTCTTTCAGGTAACAAACTGACCCTGGAGACCCGGCCGTGTAAAGAGGGGATCGACATCCGTGAAGAGCTCCTGAAGTACCACTCCACATATTACTCCTCCAACCTCATGGGACTGTGCGTGTTAGGGAGAGGTAGGAGTTAACCTCTCACATGTCATGTTTGAATGTTGCAAAAGCATCACACCCTTGTTACTCAAGAGAACAAAGAGGAACCAACAATGCAAGTCATACGTGACTCAGTGGTCATGGCCTGAAACCATATTATTATTATTATTATTATTATTATAAGTGCGACATTTAATTGATTATACAGCATTACAACGGGTAATTGTCAAATCAATTGTAATGCTTCACCAAAAAAACAAAAACCTATCAAGACTGAGTATGTTTTTTAGTAAATTCACTTTTGATGCTACACTTCCCCTTCTTCCTTCTTCTTTGCACTCAAACCTGTTGTCTATTAGCTTGAAGTTGAAACTGAGCTAAACTATGAATGTTTACCTTTACCTCCAGAATCATTAGACGATTTGACCGCCATGGTGGTTAAGCTGTTTGGAGAAGTGGAAAACAAGAATGTACCTGTCCCAGAATTCCCTGAGCACCCCTTCCAGGAAGAACACCTAAGAGTGAGTCACTTACTTACACTGTTCACACCTTTACTGTAATCAACACTCGTAGAGTTTAATGATGACACCTGGCTGTTAGCTAAATTACATTTTTGATTCAACTTTATATACTACATTCATCCAAAATTGGGAAATAGTTTTGTTACATCATGTTTACAAAGCATAGCACATGAATATAAACAGTATATATATACTGTACATATCAACAGTAGAAAGATATTTATTTATTCTCAAAGTTCTGATAACTATTCAAAGATATTTAAAATGTTTTATTAGATACATGTTTATTTTTGTAATGTATTATATACTGTATATAAATAATAGACCAACGTGCTATTTTAAAAAATATACAAAAATAAATGCAATAAGGAGTTCAACTACAATTTGAAAATGTACAGGTTTATAATTGTTTAGGGTTTTCAATTCTTTTTGGGAAAAATATATAAAGAATTTATATAATATGATAAATGTCTTTTAGTTTTCATTCATCAAAATATAATTAAAATGTTCCTAACAAGATTTGTGTGTGTGTTCTGTTGCAGCAATTCTACAGCGTGGTGCCTATCAAAGACATCAGGAACCTGTACGTGACGTTCCCCATCCCGGACCTACAGAAGCACTACAAATCCAACCCAGGACATTATCTGGGACATCTGATTGGTCACGAAGGACCCGGGAGTTTGTTATCCGAGCTCAAATCTAAAGGTAGGACATGAAGTAGAGCTTCGACAAGATTCAAAAGTACAGATTGAGAAAACATTTTACAACTATTCTGAACATTTTCCTATTCTCCTCTTTTTCCACCACAAATGTTGTTTATATGTTTTACTTATGTTTTTTTGAATGGTATGCCCATATACTTAACAATATCAATTATAACAAAAATGTAGACAGAATTCTGACGATTAGTCGTTTTTTTTAAGTATCAAAGATGTTCTGGTAAATGTATAATATGTTTTATTTTAAGCCTTGGATCTATTTTGTACTAATAAGGTACACGATAAAAAAAAGAAGGTCTTTTTGATTATTTTGACTGCGATTATGATATAAGGGTAATTGATTATTTTTGCATCAATATTCTCATTATGAAATCCCTGGAGTAGGGAACCTCGACCGTAGTATGGTTTCATAAACATATGTACCAAACTAATGAGGTTTTGTTAATTCTTTAGAAAACTATTTGTAGGTATATTATCTCCGCAGCAACACACTAACACATATTTGGCCCTCCAATACATATTGTGCTTCCTGCGGTTTGACCATTGCTTGAATCCATATTGATATTTTGATAACATTTTGATTAATTGTGCGGTTTTAGTCGACTAACCTAACGAGACGATGATTATTATTTTGAAGGCTGGGTGAACACACTGGTTGGAGGGCAGAAAGAAGGAGCCAAAGGATTCATGTTCTTCATCATCAATGTGGACCTGACTGAAGAGGGGCTCTGTGAGTACACTCTGCTGAATATGCATTATATATTTCACTTATCACTGCTGATGGGCTTTGCATGTACTTCTGATTATTCCCTACCTTGGTCAGATTTGTAATTGCGAGAATAAATGATATATAGATCCTGTTCATGGCATGATATATAAACCTAATTATTTCCTATTGTTTGCATTGTTATTAAGATCCACATTAGCATTTGCTGTTATTCCTGGGGTCCACACACTTGTATTCACACACACATTTACACAACAATTATGTACGGAAGTTAAACTGAAATGAACTGAAACACAAAATCCACACTTATACTACAACTAAATAATTCATAGCAAGCAAGTCCTTGTCTGAAATGACCTTGAATTGCATATTGATCTATCCTGTGCCTTTTTTTTAAATGGTGTTTTAAAAAGTAAAACAAGATTTAAATTCAAGTAAAATGTGTACTTTCACACTTGTTTTCATTTTCTTCCTAAACGACAGTTCATAGTTGACATGCTGAGCCTCAATCAGACACCAATAAGACTATTTTGAAATTATTTAGACAAATAAACGCAGGTCTTTATTGGACTTTGTATTACTTTTGTCAGTATGGACATGCTACACATTTCAATTGTTCACTTCCAGAACTCAGGAGCTCAAGTATAATCCAATCAAATGTACTAGCGACAAGAGAGATGCTAAAAAAGGGGTGACTCTCCATCCTTTTGGAATATGTGTCCATTGTTCAATTACTGGTATTCCATTTGTTGTATAAGTTTGTTTCCTAAAGAATAATATTTAAACTGGCATAAGTGTTATTTTCTCTTCTTGCACCAGGTGTGCTTGTATTTGCTACCTTGCTAGCCATTTGAGTTCAGTGATTGAAGCATGTAAACCAGGGGTGCCCACAATTATTTGGGCTGGTGAGCTACTTTTGAAATGACCAGCTCACCGAGGTCTACCAACCAAAAATAAAATCCCAAATTGCAAGGGTTGCTGAATAACACGTTTTATTTATACATGGGATAATAGGGCTGCAACAAACGACTAATTTGATAATCGATTAATCTATCGATTAATGAAACGACTAATCGACTATTCAGACTATTACTGTATGCCTTGCACAATTTCTCAAACGCTCTTGTTTAGCCATCAACTTTTAGATTTAGCTTGAGGTTGTTTTAGGCATGTGGAAACTAACAATGAAGACAATAAAGATGACTTGATTCAAAAATACAAACATTATTAAATTAACTTAACAAATTGTTTACAAAACTAACATTGCTTTTTATTTAAATTAAATAAATAATATTTCACATCAAAAGAAACAACAATGTTTTAACAAATCGTATTAAATAATGTGATGACAGAACTGTGAACAGAATAGCTGAAACTTTAACAAAATAAAGAGTAACTCAGTTCCCTCTAATCATTAACCCATGTTTGTATCATTGAGTTAACTGCGTGTGTTGCTGCTAGCATACATAACACCTGACGTGGAAACGTTACTCGTGGATGGAGCTACAGAGCTGCTAGAAAGACAGTGGAACCCGGTGCATTCCTCCGTCTGGATGTGGTGCGCTTTTGATAAATGTTTAGACACATTGCTCGTGTTACCGCCCTCACATGATAAACTCTCTTGGCAACGAGCATTGTCCACCTCAAGACGGGTAACATTTAACCACACCTTGGAGCGCTTCTCTCCGCCATCTCCTCCGTGTGTTGCTGCATGTAGCAGCTGCGTGTGTGTAAACTGCCCCGCCCCCTCGCGCACAGACGGGGGAGAGAAAGATCTCGTCTCGATTGGAAAGATCGAAAATACACCGACATTTGTTTGTCTTTTTGCATGTTAGAAACGAGTTGGCGACACTAAGACTGCGAGATAATATTTGTGTAGCAATAATACATGACCTTTCTCTTTCTCAACTCGCTACTCGGAGGGAAGTCGCTGTCATATGCCTTGTGAACACTCCGATAATGCCTCTCCACGTTACCTTTCTTTGGCAGAGCGACGCTTGCTTTACAAATAAGGCAAATAACCTTTGAATGTGACATCACAACAAAATATTCTTCCTCCCATTCTGGGTGGAAGTGGTTTGTCTTTAGCTTCTTGCTCGGTCCCGCACTCATTTTGTTGTTTGTCTCTTGTTTGTCTCTTTAAATTAATTTGAGTTTTCCCGGCACTTGACTGATTTTGTATCGCTTTGCATTCTGGGTTAACAGACTGGAAAGCGATAGGTCGCTTTTTCTGTCAATCAAGTAAACTCCTGAATGAAGTGGCAGGGAGGCCAAGGGAGGAGGGATCAACACCTGTTTTGTCCATTTTAACGGGGCTGGATTTTTTTTTTATGTATGACTCGCGATCTACCAGCTTTGCCCCCGCGGTCGACGTACTGGGCACCTCTGATGTAAACCCATTGGCTATTGAATGCAGTTTTAGGATACATATATTTCTTCTTTATCCTGCAGTGCACGTTGAGGACATCATCTTCCACATGTTCCAGTACATCCAGAAGCTGCGCACTGAGGGCCCTCAGGCGTGGGTGTTTGATGAGTGCAAGGTAATATTGTTGTCTATTCAGAGACAGCTTCTCAGACAGAGGGGCAGGACAAACTTGACCTACTTATTTTTGGTCAATGGAGAAATAATAGTAATTTCTATCAAAATATGTGATGCTCTGATGGCCTCTCTTTCCTGGTAAATGCAGAAATGTCAAATTTTAACCTTTGAAATATTCATTGTAAAAATCACTTTTGAGCCAAAATGATCTAGAATAACATGGGCTTTCAATTCTATGCAGTTCCTCTTTCTAGAATCTGTCTCTTAATCTATTTCCACTGTATGTAAGGGTTACATATGTTGTGGTTTCACCTGTTGCATCCTCCATCCCTGTCTCTCTGCAGGATTTAAACAATGTGGCCTTCAGGTTCAAGGACAAGGAGAGACCCCGTGGCTACACCTCCAAAGTGGCCGGTCTTGTACACGTAAGTCCCCTCCTCATCTGCAGAGGTTGTTTCCAGGGAGACACAATGCAGCTCAATGCGTCTGTCCCTGCTGTCGTCACCAGGCTGCTGCTTCACTCTGTTATTGAGAGGAATTGGATCTTAAAGACACAGTCCGAGTTAGGCTTGCCATTTAGATCTACCACAAATCCTGTATGAATGTTGCAGAAAGGCTCATTAACCAAGAGAAAGTACAGCCCAACACCAAGAATGCATATTTTCCCTTTTACTGGTAGTGCCAATAGTCTGCCTAAATCAGGTTTATTTATGTATGAGCTTCTCATTGGAGGTCTGCCTTACTCCCCTGTATAATGAAAGTGTAGGACACTCTGCTTGTGGTGCTTAAAGCAGCAACAAATACATTTTGAAAAGCTAGACAGCAACAAAGCTTTGCCCTCCATCTTTGTCCATCTTGTTGCTAACAATGCTAACCGCCATGAGCTCTGTGTTTCAGTACTACCCTCTTGAGGAGATCCTGGCAGCAGAGTACCTTTTGGAGGACTTCAGGCCAGATCTGATCGAGATGGTGTTGGATAAACTGAGACCAAAACACGTCAGGTCAGTGTGAGAACATCAGACTGTAGACATAGGAATAAACAAGTCCACAGCTGGCACTATGTTTTCTTTAGAAGTATAACAGAGAAGTCATATTTTATTGTTATTATCACAGTTGATTCCAAACTACAGAAAAAGGACAAATTCTAGTAGTGTGCACAAACTATTAAAGGAGTGCTTTATGCACAAAGGTGTCACTTTAACACATCCATGTAGTCCAAAGTTGGTACGTTTTCTACAGAAAATAACAATTTGAGATGTTGTAATGCGTATATTTGTGCATCACACCATAACAATGCTCACGAAGGTCTTGTACAACTGGTAACTGTGATGCATAACACGAGTGGAGCCACTCACTTTGCTAAATCTCTTCAGAAATGTTTGGGTGACGTCACAGAGACCACACCCATATTTTAGATGGTCTATGGTGTAGCTTCATCTCAATTTCATTTTATGTAATGCTGTGTCAAGCAAAATGCAGACTCGTAACTCGGGCACACTATTTGTTTTCATTGGTTTGTAGTTGTTAAACAAACAGGATCCTACTTTTGCCTATTTTTGATGAACCAGTAGCGGTGAAACACACTCTAAATGCAGCACACTGAGGACATTCTAAACCGAGCTCATCAGGCAGAGGCAGACAAGTTGTCAATGAATCTCCACTACTGCAGACATGATCAAAATGAACGGTAACACTTTATATTAAGGTACACAAATTAAACAACAACTAGTTGTTAATTAACATGCATATTAGCAGTCTATTGGCTCTTTATTAGTCATTATAAAACACTTATTAATGCCTTATTCTGCATGACCATATTCTACAAGTAATAAGCCATTAGTTGAGTTTTTCCTCAATAACCCTCTAATTAGTGCTGATTTATTGCAAGTAAGGAAGTTGTTGTATATGAGTTTTGGTCTTAATATGCTCTGCTCAATATGGGCCTAATAAGGCAGTAGTACCACAAGAATATTAATTCTACCATAGTAGCACTTAACAAATATGATCTATTATTATGTAACAAGACATGAAACTATAAGTGTTAATTGTGTCTAAATAACTCAAAATTAGGTATTTATTTCTAAGAATATGTTTTGGCGTATTGACAATTCAGCTACCAATAGCAAGGTGATATTGACCTGTATGTTTCGTATTTGCACATTTATATATTTGTAAAATGTGTACTGAAGGAAACCGGGTACAGGAAGTAGGAGAAAGTGAACTGAATAGCATGGCAGTAGACATCAATGAGTAGACTGCTACTAATTTTCCCTTTGCAACCTGAAGAGTAAAGGGTCAAGTCCGTCAGAAAGCAATGAGTGTAACTTACACTGTAAGGATTAGTAACATGTATTGTGTTTATGTGATGACATTTGGAGATGTTTAAACGGTTTAAACACCATGAGAAAATGCGTTAGCATACACGGTAGCGTTAGCATACATGCTAGCGTTAGCCATACTAGCCTGTACACATGCTTATTGCACAGCTAGCATTAGCTATATTTAACTTGTTTACACTTAGCGGTCCTATGTGTTAATCTGTTTATGTTACACTTGCATGTATGAGATCATTAAATGCCTTGTAACTTCATGGCTGCTCATTCCCTGGCTCTCAAAAGAGTTTGGCTGGCTGTTTAATCTATGTTCACACTGAGACAGTACAACACACAGAGAGAACAGTACACCTAGTGTGTAAGTACATACAAGCAGGTCACACAGTATGATCACAAATACATAAAATGTGTTTAAAAAAATCTGTTTTTATTAAACAGTACAGGCTGCATGTGTTCTCAGCCTTGGAGAAACTTGACATGTTTGGTATGTGTCTGAACCTCTCTTTAGTGGTTCATTAATAAAACAGATATTTCAACGTGTGCCTACTTTGTTCATGTACTGTTGAGGTTAATTTCAGTAATTGTGTGCTATAATGTATTTACAAAGTGTGAAGAGGAGGCAACTTTAGAATAGGGAACCTGTTCAGGTCAATTAGAGTCAAACTAATAGCTTATTGGTTATGAACAAGACTTCACTTTAGAATAGGGAACATGTTCTTAGATAGAAATACCTAATTTTGAGTTATTTAGACACAATTAACATTTATAGTTTCATGTCTTGTTACATAAGAATAGATCATATTTTGTTAAGTGTTATTATGGGAGAATAACTATTCTTGTGGTACTGCTGCCTTATTAGGCCCATATTGAGCAGAGCATATTAAGAACAAAACTCGTGCACAACAACTTCCTTACTTGCAATAAATCAGCACTAATTAGAGGGTAATTGAGGAAAAACTCTCAACTAATGGCTTATTACTTGTAGAATATGGTCATGCAGAATAAGGCATTAATAAGTGTTTTATAATGACTAATAAAGAGCCAATAGACTGCTAATATGCATGTTAATTAACAACTAGTTGTTTAATTTGTGTACCTTAATATAAAGTGTTACCAAATGAACTGCTAATAGAGAACCACTCGGATTGTGCAGTGGTTACAAATGGAGAGAGAGTTCTCCGTTCCATGATATATAACCTCATCCATTTCTTTTATTTCCAGAGTTGCAGTGGTGTCAAAGTCATTTGAAGGGCAAACGGACAAGACAGAAGAGTGGTACGGCACCGAGTACAAACAGGAGGCCATTTCTGAAGAGTCCCTTGAGGTGAATCACTGCTCCAATCAAATCACACATAGGTCACAATAATTACATTATAGACCTATCACACATTATATACAACTGACCTCTATCATTTCTATGTTGTATACCTCTCGTCCTTTTTATGTTTATAAACCCACGGTCAAATATATCTACATGACCATCATCATTTCTGTGCAGAAATAGTGCTTTTTTGTTTACAGACCCTTGTTATTGTTTTAGTTACGTGGTTTTATTAATGTTTATATATTTAGGAAATCTAAATATTTGCTTCCAATGTCTGAATATTCTTTAGAATTGGTAGTTAATTTCTTTTTGAAATAGTATACTTGCATCATTATGCTTTATAATGTAAACACACCAGTGGCATAATGCTCCAAGAGGACAAAATCCTATTTATTTTCAGGCAATATCATCAAATGTAGTTATCATGAAAGGCCTGATCACAAACAACACGGAGTTGTTTTTTTTCCAACAATGCTTGCTTATCATACGCTGTGTTTCAGAAATGGGCAAGTGCAGACCTCAACGGCAAGTTCAAATTGCCAATGAAAAACGAGTTCATCCCTACCAACTTCGAGATCTACCCTCTGGAGAAAGACTCTCCGTCCGTCCCCACTTTAATCAAGGCAAGTGTGTTATAGTGTTTTAGCAAAGTACCCAAAGTATTGTTGCTCTTCATTACCTAACTACGCTGTCCTTAAGAAAATGCACATCTTAAAAACTCTGTTATGCTGTCATATACAATTAAAAGTGATTGAGACAAAAATACATTTAATACAGTTTTGTTGCCATCATGTCTTTGTTCTTCTCTAATCATGACATGAATATGAAATGAACTGTTCATTTCTTCCAGGACACTGCTATGAGCAAGGTGTGGTTCAAGCAGGACGATAAGTTCTTCCTGCCCAAGGCCTGCTTGAACTTTGAGTTCTTCAGGTGTGTAACTCACTGTCAATCTTTGGTACATCAACTAGAGGTGCAATCATCTGAGCCGGAAATCAGCTCTAATTTGATATTTCAAAGATTGTCCTTATTATAATAGTATTTGTGTTACTGAGTCATAAGAACTAATGGTGTAAATGATCATTATCAATATTTAAATGCTAAAAGGAGCTTGAGGAAATATTGATTTTGGATTAACAGTACCTTGACTTTTTTGCCACTCTACCATCAATAACACCAGATTCTAGCCAACTGAGGATCTTCCTTCCTAGATGAGGGCATGAAAGGAAAACTAAAGCTAATCTCCAAACCTCATCAACTAAATGACGCTATCGCTATAATCTTAATGGGATCTGAACATGTGACCTCATGACATTTTTTTTTCTTGAGGGAAGCAAAAGTGGTTGTCAAACTTTTTTCAATATTGTACCCCCTTTGAAAATAAAATTCAGCCAAGTACTCCCTGATCAGCGCAAACACAATTTGTTAAGGAAAAATGCCTATAAAGAGGTACAGTAGCCTACAGCGCTGCACCATCAGTGTCTGATTTATTAAAACAACAACCTTGTAACTGAGAAAAACTGAAATGCTACATTTCAAATGTTTACAATCCATCACTAAATTCATGGCAAACCAATTTTAGCATCATGCAATAACACTAAGACGACATTAGTTGCATTGAACTGATCTGTTTTAATAAGTTGTACTTACAATGTAGTGAAACATGGGCTTGTGCTTCACTGAGGATCTTGTTTTGAAATATGTGTAACTCTGTTAATTATAAAACCCACACTGCTCAAAATTGGTTACTTTTCCTAAAATTGTATATTTATTTATTCATTTATTTTGGGGCGTGGGGAATGAAGAGAAAAAATATATGAGCATGGGATTTTGACCCCTCCTATAAACATAATGCATAATGCTGCGCTATACTTTGAGGCCACACGCCGTTGCCAAGCAACGCTTATTGTTTAGGTGTCCTTTGATAAGCAGGCAGTCATATAATTAACTAGAACTATCTAGATCTGATGGATTTGGACATAAATGCGAGTGAAGTCTAACCGGACGCGAGAGAGAGATCAGAGATCAGCTGCTGCTGACGGAGAACAACACGCAGCTCTGCATGATCACAGCTTCGCCGCTGTGACGGACCGTTGAGTGGAGCAAAATTAAATACACTAAGAGTTAGACCTAACACACTTGGCTAGTTTATCTACTCTGCAACTAGCTAAACTAGTTATAAATATATGTATTCTTTACTGTCGGGTCACTTATTACAGGTTCAGCGAGCTGCACGAGACTGACGGGCTGTCAGGAGAGGGAGAGGAAAAGAGAGCACCCCGTTTATTGTTCCCGTTTTATTATCCAGAATTACTGTAAACCTTTGAATAAAGTAGTTAATCTACTATTAGTAGTTTGTTTAAATGCATTACTTATGTTTTGTTTTTTTCATTAACATAAAATAAATCTCACGTACCCCCTGCAGTACTCCAATGTACCCCTAGGGGTCCGCGTACCCCCATTTGAGAACCACTGGCATAATACATATCATTTCATCTCCGTTTGACATTTTACTGCAGCCTTGAAACCAAACGTTCTGTACTCAAATGTTTTAACCGTTACATGCCTGATGAATACGTTCAATGTGTTTTATGTATGCATCTTGTAGTACTCTCAGCCCCTACTGTGAAAAGTTAAAGTCCATTATGCTTTGTATCTATGCTGTTTGACCTCTGCCTTTTTCTCCACAGCCCGTTTGCGTACGTGGACCCATTGCATTGTAACATGGCATATTTATACCTTGAGCTCCTCAAGGACTCCCTCAACGAGTATGCATATGCAGCCGAGCTCGCTGGCTTGAACTATGACCTCCAAAATACCGTCTATGGGATGTATGTAAGTATTCCAAATCTCTCCCCATCGGCCTCATGCTGCATCCCAGATTTCACGTCCCCATCCCGCTGTCACCCGTCTCATCCTCAGAACAGGCTGCGGGGCCTCAGCGAGGCCTTTGTTAAAGGCTAATTTCTTAGCTCTCTGTCTGGCCAAATGACAAGGTTTTAACACCAAAGCATCATTTAAGTCTTGCCCCTTTTCACACCTGCTATAGCACTGCTAAATACGATGGGGCAAGGACAGTCAGATGGTGGAAATGCAACACTTTCCATTGGTTAGATGCTTCTAATAACATCTCTAGTTAGCACAAGCTAAAGAGATGTCCACCTTTAGTCGTATGATATTTAAAAAAAAAAACTTCAGTAAATACCCCACTAGTGAATGTCCAAAGCTTATGTTTCATAAAAACAGCGGTTGCTAACAGGTGACTAAATGTGACTACTAAACATCATCACGCCAAACATTAGCCGCCTTTAGCTTAGCTTTGGGGATTACAAGTCGGGGGAACATGATATAGTTTGTTTACATTAGCTATTTACTTCTGGCCATTGTTATTACGCTTCAAAACTCATACAAGTGTAAAATGTGAAGGTCATCCTGCCACAAAAAAATCGTTTAAGTATCATAAACTTGATTTTGCCACATCTTATTTTCTGAAAATCTCCTAAATCCAATGGAAAAGCCCCATTGTTTGATTATTAGGGAAATTTAACATCCTACCAATTATTAAATTGATACATTTCAGTGTTTCCCCTAGGTTTACTGCTTTGGGGGGGTGCTGTCTGAGCGTGGGGGGGATGGCATTGGGATATATTTTTTAAACCCTCTGGAGCAGAGAGGAGCTGTGGATTATTGTTATTGATTAATGCATCAGTGTTTCTTAGGGTCAAAAACATTAAACTCACAACTTAAAATGAAAGCGTTCAGTTTATTTAATAAAAGAGCACATGTTCAATGTGAAAAGTGACAGTAGATATAGATTAGTTGCAATTTGGTGCTATATATATATATATATATATATAAAAAAATAATTAAAAAAAATTTTTTTTTTTTTTATTAAACACCTTGAATTTCAGGGGGGGCGCGGGGCTCCGTTGGCGGGGCTCCGTGCCCCTCTAAGACAATGGTAGGGAAAACACTGCATTTAGTAATCAGATAAGACATACACTTGCTTTATCGAAGAACAATAGGAAATATAACAATCTCACCAAGGATTTTTCAAGAAAAGTTAAAATATTAGCAAAAAACACTGTAGTTCAATGTCTGTTTTGTTCAATCATTTGAGACTTAACTCATGGTCACCTCTCAACCCAGCCCTGACCAGCCTCTGTTCTGTCTACATCTTCTTCATTCTAAATCAATCCTTTTGACCTTTTGCTTACCCACCACCCACAAAGAAAATAGCAAGTTGTTGTAATTTCCTCTTGCTGTATTATGGTTATAGGCACACCTGTAGTCACATCAGTAGAGACTTTCTACAAATGGCAAATCATTCATTTCATAATGATCCTCATGGTGGCATGAGATAGTTGCTTGTGATTTTTACGGGAGGAAAAGCTAGTTGCGAGCCTGCATAGCCATACTCTACTTATCATTCTTCTCTTACTTGCATTGTTTGTTTTTTTTATATTCCCTGATTCCCAACACATTTTCTTTTCTTCTTTTCTTCCCCCATCATTAGTCGTTACATATACGTAGACCCCCTGCACTGCAACATGACCTACTTGTTACTCAGGTTACTGAGGGATGATTTAAACGAGTATTCATATGCAGCCCGTCTGGCGGGGCTGGTGTATGGTGTAGCCTCGGGGGCGAATGCCATCCTCGTAAGTAAGCCGTTTGAAGTCTGCAGGGGAGTGAAGGGGCCACTTTGAGGCTTTGGCACAGTGTGGAAATGGCTTGGGTTTTTACTCCAGTTTGATTATGTGAAGTGCTGTGTCCTGTTCCGCCAACCTGAAGGATTTATAGGACTCTCTGCTTGCAATTACCTTCCCTGAAAACACTAAGTTAATTTGATTTAATTGAAGGATATCTAAAAATAGAGATCTAAAATAACATATTGACATGTCTACTTGTGATTACAAGATTAACCTCTAGGAATTATGTTTAAGAGGAGAGTTCACTTTTCAATAGTCCTTAACCTTACCGGCCCCGTGGTTATAAAACTAAAACATTTAAAAGTTTTTGCAGACTTGCAAGTGTGCATTAAATTCTGACTTTTAAGTCAAGGACATATATACACGTGAGTGGTATTACAGATCCTCTTCCAAGATTCATTCAGGATTTAACAGACTCTTTCAAATGATTGTGTGGTCATTTGGCTGCCGTTCTCTCAGTTCTAATATGCGTGTCTGATGTAAGGAATAAAGCATTCGCTGACATATTTATTGTTACATTTCTGCTGCTGATGCAAGGGTACAAAGGACATTACATTTGATCTGTAGTATCCAGGAAGTTTGATGGACCTAATTATAATCCACTTGCTCAAGGATACACCCCTTTTGTTAAGCCAATTTATGAATAAAGTTTTCTCAACTCAGCGTCTCTCTCAGGGGTTTAATGTAAGGATGTGCGTGATGATTCATCGTGGCGGTTAAACTTTTCCATCCTCCCTGGCTTGCACCAGAAATACCAGTTGGTTAATGTTATTCTCTTTAAATGGAAAGTGAGACAGAGAGGCCATATTAGAAAAACAAAACAGCTTTGGTTGACGGTATTTTTAAAAAATAAATTAAAAATGCCTTTCTTTTGAAAAATCACCAAATTTTTCAATAATAACCTAATTAGTTTTTCAGAAAATGACCTAATTTCTGAAAAATCACCTCTTTAATCTTTAAAACATGATTTAACTTTCTTTTTTTTATGACCCTATTTTACGAAAAACTACTTGCCTACTTCTACAATCTAATATTGGAAACATTAATAAAAAATATATACTTAACCCATACTTGCCAACCTTGAGACCTCAGAAATCGGGAGCATTTCAAAACCACCGCGGGGGGGGGGGTGGGGGTGCTAGTGGATCGGCAGAATATTTGGTAAAGTCAAAATATGTGAAAATATTAGATTGAGGTATTATTGTGTTGCAGAGAAGTAAGAACCGCTGAATCAAACGTGACAAAAGTCCTTGTTTGGTAGAGATCGTAGTAAAAAAATCACACCAAGGTCGTTTTAATAACATTTTCAATCATAATATAAATCAAATCATGTTTTATTTATATAGCACATTTTTAAAACGATTTTTGGTCGACCCAAAGTGCTGTACATGTAATAAAAACACTTTACTGCAAAAGCAAACAGAAGAAAATAATTTACAGCAGCAAATATAAAAATCAAACGCAAGGAAATGTCATGAGTCGTGCTCCGCTCTGACTAGAAGGCCAGAGAGAAGAAGTGTGTCTTTAGTGATGATTTAAAAACCCCTAGGGTCTGGGCCGACCTCACATGGAGGGGCAGACTGTTCCAGAGCCTAGGGCCAGCTGCTGCGAAGGCTCGGTGCCCTCTGGTTTTGAGCCTGGTCTTGGGCACTATCAACAGCAGCTGGTCAGCCGACCTTAAAGCTCTGGCTGGGGTGTAGCGATGGAGGAGTTCTGCTATATAGGCCGGAGCCAGCCCATTTAGGGCTTAGTAAACAAATAAAAGGATTTTAAAATCAATTCGGAACCGAATTGGAAGCCAGTGCAATGAATGGGGTTACTTCTTATGGCCAGTGCGAAGACGTGCAGCTGCGTTCTGCACTAGCTGCAGGCATCTAATTGACGCCTGGTCCATACCCACGTATAGAGCGTTGCAGTAATCCAGTCTCGAGGTAACAAAGGCGTTAATAACCCTTTCTAGGTCCTTAAAAGATAAAACGACTTGGTCTTGGCCAATAGTCGTATTTATAAAAAAGAAAAAAAAAAGCAGGTCTTGACTATGGTGCTGACCTGCTTATCAAATTTAAAAGCGCAATTACGATTTTGGCCTGCCACAATTACGAAAAAAACATCGAAAAAACCCATTATTTTGCTTTGCTAGGTTGTGACAGTGCACTGCAACATATTTGATCTAATTTATTTTTATTTATCATATTTATATATGATTACTAGCTTGTGGAAGTGCGCTCCAAAATATTTGTTGATCTTGTTTATTGGTATTTATTATTTTGATATTATTTATTTAAACGTAAATATAAATGTATCATTTATTTTAGTATTGGTTTTTCAGTTGAATTATACGTTCAGGGTAAACAACAGTTAAAAATATACTGTTCAAATTATTATTTTTATTTGTTTTAAAGTTCAATAAATGGATGTTTTCAAAGTCAATGAATAATCGTATTTAATAATCGTGATATCAATTATTGACCAAAATAATCGTGATTATGATTTTTGCCATAATCGAGCACCCCTAAAACAGATCCTGCATTTTAGCCATGCCTCATTTCGCTCTATTTGCTCTTTCCAGCACTGTTTTTGCAGGGGCTGATTCTGTGAGCTGCAGCTGACCACGCCCCCCTGCAGGAGAGGGGAGCGTGCTCTGAGATCAGCTGCTGGGCTGTCAGAAGAGGGGGAGCAAAAGAGATCTCCGTCCTCCGTGTTTTATTCTTATATTACATTACATTACATTTAGCTGACGCTTTTATCCAAAGCGACTTACAATAAGTACATTCGACCAGGAAGACACAACCTTGAAGAAAACAGAATCATATAAGTACATCAGGCTTCATAGAGCCAAACATTTCAAGTGCTACTCAACTGGCTTTAGGTAATCCAGTCCTTTATTAGTATAAAAGTGCTTTGTTAGTAATTCTTTGTTAGTAATTCTATCGCTCGAAGTGGAGTCGAAAGAGATGAGTTTTCAGTCTGCGCCGGAAGATGTGTAAGCTTTCTGCTGTCCTGATGTCAATGGGGAGCTCATTCCACCATTTTGGAGCCAGGATAGCAAACCCACGTGTTTTTGCTGATGGGAACTTGAGTCCCCCTCGCAGTGCGGGTGCAGCGAGCTGTTTGGCTGATGCAGAGCGAAGTGAAGGGAGCGGAGGAGCGGAGTGGTGTGGGAGAATTTAGGAAGGTTGAAGACCAGACGAGCCGCTGCATTCTGGATGAGCTGCAGAGGTCGGATGGCACATGCAGGTAGACCAGCCAGGAGGGAGTTGCAGTAGTCTAGGCGTGAGGTGACGAGAGCCTGGACCAGAACCTGCGTGGCTTTCTGGGTTAGCTGGGGACGTATCCTCCTGATGTTGTAAAGCGTGTATCTGCAGCAACGGGTTGTAGCAGCGATGTTTGCAGTGAAGGACAGGTTGTTATCTAGGGTCACACCCAGATTCCTTGCAGTCTGAGTCGGGGAAACAACAGAGGTATTATAGAAGTAAGAAGAGAAGTAACGGGGCAGAAACCCTCCTTTTTACGCAGCGGTCCAGACATAGACATCATACGGCGACACATATTCAGTTGCCAGTTCCTTTGGCATTAGGGCAGGGATATCTAGATACTTTCCAAGGTTTGACATAATGAATTGTGCTACTTTTAAAGCAAGCAACGATGTTTTCAAATCTGTAATCAAAAAGCTCCTCAAAAACGCTATCGAAGCAGTTCCTGCCGTTGCTACGTTAGTTCAAACAGTAATGGCCGGCCGTGGCCCAACCTCTCATTCCCCTGATAGGTGGAGAATTGACCACTAAGCGGAGCACCCCTTTTGTGACGTAGCAAATAATTCAAATCTGGATCAGTCTGTATCAGATCCGTTACAGCCCCTTTTTTAGAGACTTGGGTATGGAGGAAAAGAGAGAGGGTTGTGTTTTCTGACACTTGGTGAGTTCCCTGACACACCGGGGACACATATTCATGTATAAAAGATGTACAAGAGTGCATTTTGCATGATAGGTCCCCTTTAAGCAGGGGTCCAATGGTTTTCCTTGACAAACATTTGGTCAGCCATATTTCCACACAAAATTCATAAATGATTCCATAAACTGGTCAAACTTCAAATCTACTGATGTTTCTGTTTATCGATAATGCTCCATCTGTATTACAGCTGTGTGTGAAAGGCTACAGTGACAAGCAGCACATCCTGCTGAGGAAGATCATGGAAAAGATGACCACCTTCGAGATCGACGAGAAGCGCTTCGACATCATCAAAGAAGCGGTACGCTCTAACTGCGACTCATTCAGTCATTCTTACAAAGTTATGATTATTGATAAGAAGAATGACTTGCAATGTATTGATTAGCTCGCTTCAGAACCTTTTAAACTCAGCTTTACAGTACAGAGAAGTAAAGTATTTCTGATACGCTACAGTCATTTCAACAGACTCCAGTTCATACCGTGTTGATGTTGAACCACTCTTCCTCCCTGCAGTACATGAGGTCTCTAAATAACTTCAGAGCGGAGCAGCCGCACCAGCATGCCATGTACTACCTCCGTCTGCTGATGACCGAGGTGGCCTGGACCAAAGACGAGCTCAGAGACGCCCTGGATGGTGAGGACGGGCGCTCTAAATCTCCCCCTCTCTCTCTGCTTCTGTCTCATTGCCCTGCCTTTCTGATGCTTATTAGCAGTGGTGGAATGCAATGCTACTTACTCAAGCACTGTAATTAAGTACAACTCCACAAGCAACACACTTTCAACAGCTATTAATTCAGTAAAAGTAGCAATACTACATTGTAAAATTACTCAGTAAGTCCTGCATCAAAATGGACTAGCATGAAAGTAAAGAGTAGTAAAGTATTATGCGTAACGGCCCATTTGAGAATAAGTTATTTATATTACTGCATGATTATTGATGCATTAATGTGTATATCACAATGTAATGTAAAGCAAAACACTGTCACTGTTAGTTTGAAGGTAAAACATCATAGAGAAGTCCGCTACACAGCCCTAATTTAATAATCAACAAGTTTGCGAGAAGAGTCAAATCTTTTGCTCAAGCTTTGGCTTAAATGCTAACCATAAACAAGTTGCTGTTTCCAAGAAGTCATCAGCAGGGTCTTGTGATTAGTGTGCTCACTGCACGTGAAAGTGTCCTACAGCTTTGTCCTTGCGACATTTTCCCAAACTAATGGCCATTAGTGGGTTATATCACTATTTCTCAGTTTTATAGGCTTCACGTTGTAATTATCTAAAAGTTGATTTGATTTACAGTTGATAAAGCTGCTCTTTCCCCTCCTTTAAACCCTCATTTGAATGCTGAGGCTGTCCTCCAGCAGATGCTTCCCAAGCTGCAGTCTTTGCTCTCCGCAGTAGAACCTGAGGGGCAGATTGCTATATTTCTCTTTTTAACACGGAGCTCCCACAGACTACCCTCAAATTCACATGACACTTAATTAACCTGCAGCCCAGACATCAGGGGCTCCAACACCCCACCTCGTTCCCTTATCACTGCCCTCAGCCGCCGTGTGTGTGTGTGTGTGTGTGTGTGTGTGTGTGTGTGTGTGTGTGTGTGTGTGTGTGTGTGTGTGTGTGTGTGTGTGTGTGTGTGTTGTGTGTGTGTGTGTGTGGTGTGTGTGTGTGTGTGTGTGTGTGTGTGTGTGTGTGTGTGTGTGTGTGTGTGTGTGTGTTGTGTGTGGTGTGTGTGTGTGTGTGTGTGTGTGTGTGTGTGTGTGTGTGTGTGTGTTGTGTGTGTGTGTGTGTGTGTGTGTGTGTGTGTGTGGTGTGTGTGTGTGTGTGTGTGTGTGTGTGTGTGTGTGTGTGTGTGTGTGTGTTGTGTGTGTGTGTGTGTGTGTGTGTGTGTGTGTGTGTGTGTGTGTGTGTGTGTGTGTGTGTGTGTGTGTGTGTCTTGGGAAATTGCTCTGTGATTGATTGCTGTGATCTTTATTCCAGATGTAACGCTCCCACGCCTCAAGGCCTTCATACCTCAGCTTTTGTCACGGTTACATATTGAAACCCTTCTCCATGGCAACATCACAAAGGAGGTTAGTCACTGTTTTGTGTTTATTTAATGCCAGCTGAGGAAATGCCATTCACTCCATTTCAACCCCCTTTATCCTCTGGGTCACCTTCAGCACTTATTATTGCCCTCCAATGCTATGACAGAGGATTCTATTCTTATAAGACCCTGCCATCGTGTCATACTTAATAATGGACCAAGAGTCTCTTTAAATAAAAGATGATGATGATGATGATGATACTTATTATCTGAGGTCCCATCCTAAATCGACAGTTTTGTGGAGAAAGCAAAATGCTCATCCATTTCATCACATCGAGCTAAATTGTCACCTGCTCCAATAATGACAGAGCAAGAACTCACCAAGTAGTTGTATGTAAAGACCTGTATGTAATATTAGGCTGTACTATAGATGGAAAATGTTTTACTTGCTAATACAACAGGCCAATTAGAGGGCAGGAAATGTTACAATATAATATAGATTTTTAATGAAGGCGTTAGCAATGTAGCATTTATTACTTAGATGTTGTTTCGAGAACAACCTCACCAGTGATGATGTATTGATGAAGGCTGACCCAGTATTGGGGGGTGAGCCTTGCAAGTGCTCCTAAAAGCAATGGGATTTTCTCATGAGTTTTCAGAATATTTCCAAAAAGACGCTTTGTGCAGACTCACATTTATGATCCTTTCACGTTTTGTTCAACAGGATCATATCCACATAACACCACTTTGTGATCTTTAAATGGTTCCAATTGCCAGCAGTAACATGCTATACACAAACTCCATGATGGTCACATGACTTCATGTCACCACTGCTAAGCTAAATGCAGCTAATGTTCAGCGTGATGACGTTCAGTAGTCTGATTTAGTCACTTGTAGGCAACTCATTCCTGCATCACTTTCACATTCATTTACCGCTACCCTCACAATTAGTACTGATATGTTGTCCCACATGCACAACTCTTTGATAAAATACTTTAACGGCACTGTTTAATCCTGCGCTGAACCTCTAAATCACCATAACACCTTCCCGAGGGATTTTATACACTTTAGCATTAATCCAACGGCACTCTTTTAGTGTTTGTTAAAAGACTAAAGCATTACTCTTGTGTTCTCTCAATTAGTGTTTGAATCAACAAATGAAGGGGTGTATCGAACACTTAATTCTATACTGCCTGATGCTCCACCTACAAAAAGATCAGTAACTGAAATAGGAGTAATGGAAATTGGACATTATTGAATAGAGTTAATCATCATAGCTAAATGCATTATTTTTTTGATGGTAGAATTGTCCTTAAACATAAATGAAACGTTTGCTTTCCCTCCCTGTGTTCTCCAGTCGGCTCTTGGCATGATGCAGATGCTGGAGGACACACTCATTGAGCACGCTCACACGAAGCCCCTCCTCCCGAGCCAGCTGACGCGCTACAGAGAGCTGCAGGTCCCAGACGGTAAGTCCAGTACCCCCCCACTCATCCCATACACACAGTCGTGCAAAGTAACGGAGTACAATTACTCAACTAGTAATTCATTTTAAGTATTTTGATTTATACCACAAAATACTTTACTATCTTCCTTATTGTACTTTTTGCATCCCCTACATTTATTTACAAGCTCGGTTACGAGATTCATATTATTTAGAAAAATGTATTATAGGTCACTCCACCTTTAGCGTCTGCACATTTCAAATGATTTACATATTAATGCCTCAATAAGGTCATTAATCATAAACTGAAAAGTATGTTTACGTTGGGTTCTTTAACACTAGAACCACCAACATTCCATTACTCCTAGAACCTCGGAGGGGGGTCTTTTTGTGTATCGGCACTCGCCGAGATGTAATTTGATAACATTTTAATTTGTTCGTTTTCATAATTTCCTTGTAAACTATGTAGGACTTAACACATTTTGTTTTTTAAACTCGGATAATGGGGTTAATTCTTTTGTATTGCCTTACTTTATAATCATGACGGATCAAAAAGTTCAGATTCATTTTACAATAAATTGTGCGTTTCTACAAAGAAACAACATAATGTTATTTACAGTGGGGCAAAAAAGTATTTAGTCAGCCACCAATTGTGCAAGTTCTTCCACTTAAAAAGATGAGAGAGGCCTGTAATTTTCATCCTAGGTACACTTCAACTATGAGAGACAGAATGGGGGGAAATAATCCAGGAAATCACATTGTAGGATTTTTAATGAATTAATTGGTAAATTCCTCTGTAAACTAAGTATTTGGTCACCTACAAACAAACAAGATTTCTGGCTCTCACAGACCTGTTACTTCTTCTTTAAGAGCCTCCTCTGTCCTCCACTTGTTAACTGTATTAATGGCACCTGTTTGAACTCGTTATCAGTATAAAAGACACCTGTCCACAACCTCAAACAGTCACACTCCAAACTCCACTATGGCCAAGACCAAAGAGCTGTCAAAGGACACCAGAAACAAAATTGTAGACCTGCACCAGGCTGGGAAGACTGAATCTGCAATAGGTAAGCAGCTTGGTGTGAAGAAATCAACTGTGGGAGCAATTATTAGAAAATGGAAGACATACAAGACCACTGATAATCTCCCTCGATCTGGGGCTAAGATCTCACCCCGTGGGGTCAAAATGATCACAAGAACGGTGAGCAAAAATCCCAGAACCACACGGGGGGACCTAGTCAATGACCTGCAGAGAGCTGGGACCAAAGTAACAAAGGCTACCATCAGTAACACACTACGCCGCCAGGGACTCAAATCCTGCAGTGCCAGACGTGTCCCCCTGCTTAAGCCAGTACATGTCCAGGCCCGTCTGAAGTTTGCTAGAGAGCATTTAGATGATCCAGAAGAGGATTGGGAGAAAGTCATATGGTCAGATGAAACCAAAATAGAACTTTTTGGTAAAAACTCAACTAGACGTGTTTGGAGGAGAAAGAATGCTGAGTTGCATCCAAAGAACACCATACCTACTGTGAAACATGGGGGTGGAAACATCATGCTTTGGGGCTGTTTTTCTGCAAAGGGACCAGGACGACTGATCCGTGTAAAGGAAAGAATGAATGGGGCCATGTATCGTGAGATTTTGAGTGACAACCTCCTTCCATCAGCAAGGGCATTGAAGATGAAACGTGGCTGGGTCTTTCAGCATGACAATGATCCCAAACACACCGCCCGGGCAACGAAGGAGTGGCTTCGTAAGAAGCATTTCAAGGTCCTGGAGTGGCCTAGCCAGTCTCCAGATCTCAACCCCATAGAAAATCTTTGGAGGGAGTTGGAAGTCCGTGTTGCCCAGCGACAGCCCCAAAACATCACTGCTCTAGAGGAGATCTGCATGGAGGAATGGGCCAAAATACCAGCAACAGTGTGTGAAAACCTTGTGAAGACTTACAGAAAACGTTTGACCTCTGTCATTGCCAACAAAGGGTATATAACAAAGTATTGAGATGAACTTTTGTTATTGACCAAATACTTATTTTCTACCATAATTTGCAAATAAATTCTTTAAAAATCAGACAATGTGATTTTCTGGATTTTTTATTATTTCTTTCTCATTTTGTCTCTCATAGTTGAAGTGTACCTAGGATGAAAATTACAGGCCTCATCTTTTTAAGTGGGAGAACTTGCACAATTGGTGGCTGACTAAATACTTTTTTGCCCCACTGTATATCCTACATACAGAATATCCTAAACTGTGGTATTATCACTTATACTAAAGTAAAATGACAAACAGAGGTTTCTTGATCATCATTTACTTATTATGTCTGTCTCCACGGCAACAATGCAAAAGATTCCATCCCCGGCGCTCTTGCCCTCGTCATCAGTGACGCCTTCGTGTGCTTGTTACGACTTAATTCAATTGGACATCCCTCATTTCCTTCAGAGGAACAGTTGCTGGAAATTGACGGCATTGAGAAAATGTCAATCACACCTTCAGTTCAGACACACACACACACACACACACACACACACACACACACACACACACGCGCGCGCCGAGCACCTGCGCTGCCTCTCTGATTACATTAGAGCAGTGGAGTGATGAGGAGAGGGAAAGCAGAGCGCTGCAGGGCCACCTGGAGACTTCCTGTGTCTCAGCAAGGGTTTTCCAGACCGGGCTCCAGCCTGCCAGACACAGAGCAGGGGGGGACGGAGAGGAAGGCACACTCACAGTTCCAAATAATCGTTCCACTTTGGCATTTATCTTTGCTAAAAGCACCATTTAATCCAAATGTAATCAGAAATGTTGGATCCTGCTATATAATAGTTTACCACAAATATATTAACGTTTTCCGTAGCAAATGCTGGCTGTAACTTGATATGGTCAATTAAGGATTCATTAAGCACCGAATTAAACTAACTTTTTAAATGTATCAGCAATCTTGTCTTTTTTATGTAACCGTAAAGGAATACAGTAGTTGTTTTGTATCATGATTACGTAATCCCGTTGCATGTAATCTGTTGCCCCCCAAGCCTGCTTACTTGTTACATTTTTTCACAGATAATTAATAACTAACGAAATAGCATTTTGAAGTAACCTTCCCAACCCTAGCAATGCCAAAGCAGCCAGTAATGCCAACACATTGGTGCTTTGGTCAATCAAAGAGTTTCTCTCCCAAATGTTTGACTGTTTTTATATTTCAAGTAGAACTTTTGACATGTTGAGAATGCTAGGGGAGATGTTAACAAAAAGGGACGCGACTCTCCCTGAGCGTAACTGCGCCGTCAGCATGTACACAAAGGCACCTACATTCCCCAGACTCCATTCAAAGTGAGCTTGATATCATTGGACTCAAACAAACTGAAGCTAAAAGGAACCCGTGTTCCCCCTGCAAGAAAGGATGGCTCCTCTCCAATGTTTAAAGTTACGGGAGAAAGGTTAGAGCAGACCAATTTGGAAGCACTCGGCAAAAAAAACAGTTGGGTTCAGTCTGTCTCCGTCTTTCTGGAAAGTGTCACCACCGTCCTCTCTCTGAACTTACACTCTTCCAAGCCTCATGATGTCGACAATTAAAACTGCTCATCACTTGTTTGACTCCAAGCAGCAATAATAGTTGTTTTGTAATGTTTCATGTTTTTAAATGGAATACCTAGAGGGGTATAGCTAAGCTTGTGATATTAGTTTCTATGCTAATCTGACTTATCATTGAGGATTATACTTAAACATTCTACTGCAGATGGGTTTAGCTTGTACATGTGATGTAGAATCCAGCTGGGAAAATGAATATGTTTGTGTAGAAATACTCTGGTCCAAGTAAAAGTTTTGCATTCAAATAGTTGTACATTTCAGCCTATTGTGTCCAAAAAAACAAAAAACCGTTCAAATACGGCACTAATGTCCCACAATGTGTGAGTCAACTGATTAGATGTAAGGGTTTAAAGGACACTGACCTCAAATCTATCCTGTTCTTATGAACATGGTATCTTAGGTATTCCTCTAGGGAACTTTCTTCAAATTAAGCAATAAACGTCCGCTTGGATAATTACATTTTGATGGATAAAGGTCACAAAACACATTTATTTTCTTCTTGATCTAATGGCTAATTATGACAATTTCACATCTCTTAATAGAACATAAATATTGAGCTGATGACATTTGAGAAAGGATTACATTATGTGTATTGCTTAATGTATTAGTTGTAGGCAAGGGAAAATGTAGTTTGAATCAAATACAGATGTACAAAATACATGTCTGCTCCTTCAGTTGTATTCAGTCTTTAACCCTGCCTGTTTTCCTCTCAGTTACTTTGAAATGCATTTCTGATTGTGTTGTGCTCCTCTCAGGCGGCTGGTATGTTTACCAGCAGAGGAACGAGGTGCACAACAACTGCGGCATCGAGATCTACTATCAGACAGACATGCAGAGCACCAACGACAACATGCTGCTGGAGCTCTTCTGTCAGATCATCTCTGAGCCCTGCTTCAACACCCTGAGGACCAAAGAGCAGCTGGGTGGGTCTCAGAGGGCCAAGGGAAACACGTCACGTGTACAGTCTTCCATAACACTTTCTTTGTGTATCCATACGGCAGCTGGCAACACCTGATTGTTTTTAGGACCTTTTGTTTTTCAAATGTGGCACTCCTCTACTTTAACTCAACGAAAAGCGTATCAGATTATAGGGGTTGAAGGTCACTGTGACAAATCAAATCTGTCCCGTACTGATGGATAAAGGTCGAGGTATTCAAAAACAAGTTATTTGTCAGAACTCTTGAACTCAAAAGCTAATTATGACCATTTCCAATGAATGCCTAATAGGATCAAATGTTGAGCTGATGACATTTTAGAACAAATTGTATTTCTATGTATTGTTAATATATGAGCTGTAGGCATTGGACCATATACAAAACTTCATGTCACCATTACCCTGACCACAATAATTGTGACTTCATCATATAAGCATTATAATTATATATTAGAAATATCTACATGATAATTCCTGTATTTTGTACTTCTCTACCATGATGGTGCGCTCGACTTTATACTTTTCGTGCTAATTGTGCATGTTTTATTGCATATATTGTCCAAACCCAAATGAGTTGTGCTGCCATGTTATAAATATGAATTCAGCCATTTTTCTTAGAGAATTTTGCAGCTGTATTTTGTCATTTGATCTAGAAACTTCACTTGCTGAGATTGGTCTTTGTGTGCTATCTTTTGAGAATGACTATAAATCACATTGGTAGTACTGCTGTAATCCTAGGGAGGGGCCTAACATTAGTATGATAAGAACACTGCTGATGTTCCCCTCTTCCCCCCCCCAGGCTACATTGTGTTCAGCGGGCCGCGGCGGGCTAACGGAGTGCAGGGCCTGCGCTTCATCATCCAGTCGGAGAAGGCCCCCCACTACCTGGAGAGCCGGGTGGAGGCCTTCCTCTGCACCATGGAGAAGTCTGTGGAGGAGATGGCCGACGAAGCCTTCCAGAAACACATCCAGGCCCTGGCCATCCGCCGCCTGGACAAGCCCAAGAAGCTGTCTGCAGAGTGCGCCAAGTACTGGGGGGAGATCATCTCTCAGCAGTACAACTTCGACAGAGGTGAGGCTAATGCTCACTCCTAATTCTATGCACTTTAAAGAGGCGAGTGCTTCTTGGTGTTTCTCCTTTCTATAGGTTTGGTGCATGTCAATGGTCTGTGGAGGCTAAACTCCCCGTGTTCCCTTCACTTCTGTAACAAAGGAGTCCAATGGCTCACGCTTCTATTAGCTAGCGCTCAAACACATTGTACATGATAGGCTAAGGGGCGGGACATCTCTAAGCGGTTGACCAATCACAACAGAGCCGGCCAGCTAACCCATCAGAGCAGACTGGGCTCTGGTTTCAGACAGAGGGTGAAAGGAGGTGCTCCAGCACAGGCAGTATGAGAGAAAAATAAAGCTTTTTGAACATTAAAGCAAGGAGACACGTCCCAGGAGAGGCACTGAGCAGAATATGTGCAGTTAATATCACCAAGTATAATGAAATATTTGTCAAAGTTCTTCTAAAACAATCCAAAAATAGTGTCTTTCTGATCTATCAGCTATTGCCATATAAAGAGATTGTGTTGCTTGGGTTACCGGTTCTTGAGAACCATCAATATTTCCTTCAAAAGGAGCAGGATGCTGCTTAGAGCTGCCCATCGATTACAGCCTGAATAATCTGCAGTGCCTCTCCTGAGGGCCTAATGGATTGTAATGGGCCCGATTCACTGGTAATCTGCCTAAAGCCCGCAGCACTGGAAGGCTGCGGGGGGGGTGCTGATTACTGACACTAGTGTGTGAGGAGGGAGGGAGGGAGGAAGCTAACACGCTCATGCCAAGGACACAGCACAAACACACAACGATGCCATGACTGTGCTCCAGCTGTGTCAGAGAGCTGCTGTCAGTTTGTCCTTTAACATTTTGTGCAAAAAGATGCTTATTTTAAATGTAAAATATAAAAGCATTGGGGTCAAATTGTTTATGGCAGAAGAGACCCTTTTGATTTAGTGGTGAATAACTTGAAAAGAATCAAGTCTATGATATATCCACACGCAAATGAACACAGCAGGCAGGGCATCTGTAGTTATAGGGTACCATTAAGACACATGTCAGTGGACAGCATAAGGGAGATGTGTGAAAGGGAGACAGCTTGTTGCCGGGGTGATTTAATAGTCCTGTGGGCCTTCTTCCTGAATTATAGCCAATTCATAATATTTTAAATGTATCTTTTGACACACTGGAAGCACTGCAGTGAAATATGGACGGGCGAAACGTGCATCGCTAAGATGTCACATAATAGCTTTCCGTAGCATCGTTATAGAGGATTAGGAACTTTGAAAGTGTGTTTTTGAAACCTGACTTACGATCTGTTTCAGATAACACCGAGGTGTCCTATCTGAAGACGCTGACGAAAGAGAACGTGATGCACTTCTACAGAGTAAGTACTCCAGCTTTAGACCAGGTCCCCCCCCCCCCCTCACTGACAGACAGTAAGCTTTTAACAATGGATACATGTGTGTTAGTCAGAATACTTCTCATAAATCTATGTGGAAGTATGGTTTTGTGACAGTTGCTCTATTTGAAAATGAAATGAAGAAAGAAAATAAAAGAACATTAGAAATTGAAAAGGAAAACAATTCTATATATGTAAGACGTTACAGTAAAATGTCCAATTACTACAATATATAACATTTATGCTGTAATATTTATCAACCCTTAGTTTTTCGTGACAGTTTCTCCATTTTGAAATAAATTGAATAAATATATTCATATAACCATGAGTAGTTAAAGTAAGCATCTGCTATAGAAAGATAAGATCACATACATATATTTAAATAAACATTTGAAGTAAGTATGATGATTTATATTAATAGAAAAATATATAATTAAAGGTGTATAATGAACATTCATGTAATGATCCACTGGGGCTCTCTACGGAGACGTGGAGTGATGAAGGTGTTGTTAGTGTAGGTTAATGGCTTCCTGAGCTCTGAAATGAGAATGTTGTAATTAGTGGACGTTAAAACCATAAACACCAAACAAATCCGAGCCCTGAGAATTCCAGCTTATCATTTACTGCACTAACAGTTTAATATTTCTCTGACGGCCCCCCCGGTGCAGCAGCCTGGCTCTGTGTGCTCAGCCCTGAGCGATGGCTCTGTGGCCCCGTGGACAGCAGGGGCCTCGTTAAGAGCCGCAGACATGAATTACAGCAGCATTTATGACATGGAACATTTCCCAGGTCTATCAATCAGCGCTAAATGGCTGTGTGTACTAATGAATGTTACATTAACAGTTCTGTGAGGAGAGGGCGAGCAGCGACACGGCTGCCGATAGGGCGAGCAGCGACACGGCTGCCGATAGGGCGAGCAGCGACACGGCTGCCGATAGGGCGAGCAGCGACACGGCTGCCGATAGGGCGAGCAGCGACACGGCTCGGCAGCGACACGGCTGCCGATAGGGCGAGCAGCGACACGGCTGCCGATAGGGCGAGCAGCGACACGGCTGCCGATAGGGCGAGCACGGCTGCCGATAGGGCGAGCAGCGACACGGCTGCCGATAGGGCGAGCAGCGACACGGCTGCCGATAGGGCGAGGCTGGGGCTAGTCCATCGTGCATCGTTTTCATCACTTTGGTTTAAAAATAGTACTTTTAGTTTGGGATTGACTGGATATTATTTAGTCAGTATGATTTTGCAGATAAATGCAGAATAACAACATATAATAGGGATGCACGATATTGGTTTTTTGAAACCGATACCGATAACTTCCTGCTTCTCAAGACCGATACCGATAACCGATAATAATATATATATATATATTAAATGTACCTGTAGTTTTTGCACACCTGGTGGTAAAAAAAAGACTAGTAGTGAGCAAATGACATGAGCATTACTACTATGAACAAAACAAAGCCAAGAACAGTTTTGACTCTTCAAAGTGACCATATTTATTTCCCCAAATAAAGTTCTTGCCTTTTTCAAAAGCCTCGTCGATAGGTAAAAGCCCCGGTGCCTTTGCAGCTGGCTTTGGATTCGCCGCTAGTTTAGCAGCGCAGGCGTCTTCGTACGCTTTTAACACACCATCGTAGCGATGGCGATGTTTCAGGTGACTAATCAGGTTGGAAGTATTATAGCTCGTTGCCTTTTTCCCTCCTCGTGGAACTTCTGCATTGCATTTGTTAATAAAAATAGCAAGCGAACTACCTAACTCTGAAACTTTGAAATAGTCCCATACTACCGACGACATGTTTGTTTACTGTCCTGGCTTCACGGCCGCACACCATTTACGTCACAGCCAAGCATGAGTTAGGGAGCGCTGGATTTGTGAAGAACTCGCCTCTTCCTAAACCACTAATACCACAGTACTGGCAAAACGGGAGGAGCCGAGTGAAAAACAAGCGCCCCTCATCCCAATCCACCCACACCGCAGTATTGTTTTCTTTTTTTTTACCCAAAAAATATATTGTATATTATCGGGGCTATTAATACTGGTATCGGGTTTATCGGGATGACGTCATAATTCCTAATATCGGACCGATAATTATCGTGCACCACTAATAATAATATTGTTATTATTATTTGAGGACCAAAGTTGATTCTCTACCTTGGATATGGAATTTCAAATGTGATATTTGTTTATGATATTTCTTCTTTTCTTTTTTTTACCACAACTGGAAATCTACATTTCCGTTAGAGCTGGATAACTTTATACGGCCACATTTAACATGCAAGAATAAATTGCACCAAATCAGATATTAATCATTGTTTTCTCGTGCATGTGTAGCTGGGATCAGTTCTCTTCATTACGGTGTGACTTGGTTGGGACAATACTATATAGTATGTGCTCCTTAGTCGATACATGTCTGAATAATATGTCCGATTTGTTTGTGATGTTGGAGTTCATGACAGATCTTCACATCTCATTCCTCATCCACACACACCTCCGTACAGAAGCCAGGCTCCAACGCCATCATTTAAAATGTGTCTCTCTCTCTCTCCCGGTCCTTGTCCTCCTCTGTTCACAATGCTCTGGTTTCTGCTGCAGATCAAATGATAAATGACACCCTGACTCCAATTAGTCTTTTCAGCCCCAAACCCTCTCCTGGCACAAACGTCGATTACATTTGATCCATATATAATTGGTTAGCTGCTGCTGCTGTTGTTTTAAGGATTACAATGAGGGTACTGCTTCCTCCATGAGCCGACTCTCCCATAAGGGGTGGCGGTGAATGGATGGATGGCATTAGTGGCCTAAAAATAAACAAATACGAGAAGCAGATTTTGAAAGGGGGAGCCGGGCGCGGCCTGACTTCCACAAATGGTCTGAATGGAACCACAGTCAGTGCACCGCTGACTGAGCCCAGGTGTGTGGAACAGAACCACTTCTGATGACAGAGCGCTGTCTGTCCGATAAACAGCCTGAGCACATCCTGTGTGTGTGTGTGGTGTGTGGGTTGGGTGGGTGTGTGTGTGTGTGTGTGTGTGTGTGTGTGTGTGTGTGTGTGTGTGTGTGTGTGTGTTGTTGTGTGTGTGTGTGTGTGTGTGTGTGTGTGTGTGTGTGTGTGTGTGTGTGTGTGTGTGTGTGTGTGTGTGTGTGTGTGTGTGTGTGTGTGTGTGTGTGTGTGTGTGTGTGTGTGTGTGTGTGTGTGTGTGTGTGTGTGTGTGTGTGTGTGTGTGTGTGTGTGTGTGTGTGTGTGTGTGTGTGTGTGTGTGGGTGGGTGGGTGGGTGGGTGGGTGTGTGTGGGTTTCATCTCCTCCCGCCCACTGCTGCTATTCCTAGCTGTGAGGTGACAGGAGGCTGGGGGACGGGGCTGCACACTGACGGCTCTGTCTCAGGGTAGCAGACTGAGGAGCTGTTATCTCTCAGGAGCATGCTCCCCCCCCGGAGCATGCTCCCCCCCTGCATCTCTAATGATGCACAGGCTGCCTTACAGACAGGCTTTTTATTTGTATGTATTTATTTGTCATTGTTGTGTCTGGGAGCCACACCCTCTAATCCTCATGGAGACGCTGGTCATGTAGCTCAATCTCTACCCGACCACTGTGAGAAACAGTCATCCAGAGGTTTAACAAAGTGATGAGTCATTCCCAGGGGTTCCATTGGGATTTGTTATGAGTCAGGGGAGGGGGCAGCTGGGGTCACATTTAGTAATAGTTGCATTTATATTGCAATACATCTTATATCGCAACAAATGCACACCTTTTCCTAGATCACATTATCACCATCCCATGTAAAGTGAACATTAACGACATGTGTGCTCACATCTAGTCCGCTGCACCGTTAGGGCCAAAAGGATAGACATGTTTTGATTAATATTGACATCATGTTTATTTATCAGTTTAAGTGACAGAATATTATGACACTTTTAAATATACACAGCGGGGGGTTTCACCTCAAAACTAATTTGGGCATTTAGCCCTGATGCTTTGATTTAAAAAATGTTTACATTCAGTTCAAATCTGAAAACTAATTTCAATAGCAATCATGAATACTAAATATGAATAGATTCTGCTAATAAAAGAGTCAAGTATGTGACTGAAAATATTTCCTTAGTAAGGCACAGGGGTTAGTTACTGTAGTAGTTCTAGCAGAATGTCCACATTTTGACTTTTTTTATATTTATATATCATTTCTATATTTTATTTATCTTTAACTTATTTTTATACATATTTATTTCATTTTTGCAATATTTTATTTCATTCTAAAATGGGGCAACTATCACAAAACCCGATATATGAAGTATCCTGATTGGAAAACCACTGACTGAGACTCCCCCCCCCCCCCCCCCTCTCTGTCCCTGTCCCTGCAGGAGCGTCTGACGGTGGACGCCCCGAAGAGACACAAGGTCTCTGTGCACGTCCTCTCCAGAGAGATGGACTCCTGTGAGTACTGCTGCTGTCCCTTCATTCAGACACTCTGTGTGTTCCTCCAGTGTGGCTCTGACCCGTCTCTGTGTGTTCTCAGGTCCCATCGTGGGGGAGTTCCCGGCTCAGAACGATGTCAACCTGGCCCCCGCCCCCTCCCTGCCTCAGGTAACCTCATGTTTAACCACGCTTCTACCTTTAACCTGAAAACTACTGAAACATATTCAAGCTGATCAAAGCTGCATTCACATGATCCAGGATTTGCTCACTGCGAGATTGGCTGCACAGCTAGCTACATTTTGTTACTATGGTTACCTTACCTCCTAGCTTACAGCAACTCATACAGCTGTCATCTGATTGGTTATGCGTCAAGAGGTCAGCAGCAATCGAGGTCAAAGTGTAAATAATTTGACCTTTGAGCGCAGCGCTCGGTAATAGAGCTGTCCACAACGACAGCGGCTCCGCTATCTCCATAGCAACGCCAGCAGAGCAGCTGTACCGCAGATCATATATAACACATATTTACTTAATTTTTTTATCAACTACTGATACATTGTTTCTTTTCCTCAACTACCAAGAAATTCCATTTATTTTTCTAAACTACAAACACACTTTTTTGGAATGACTCAGGTATATGTGACCTGTCACTGCGAGGGTCTCAGGAAAGAGGGGGCTGTGTACTGTAAAGCCCCCTGAGACACATGTGTGATGTTGATGATATCCACTTTGTTTTTCTAAACAACTGAAACATATTATTTTATTTGATCAACTACTGACACATATTCACATGTTTCACCTCCACTCTGCCCCCCCCCCCCTTGCAGCCCACCCTGGTGCAGGACATGACAGAGTTCAAGAGGAGCCTCCCCCTCTTCCCGCTGGTCAAACCTCACATCAACTTCATGGCTGCCAAACTGTGAGGGGGGGGCAGCTCCACACGCAGGAAGACCAGCATCTCACCGAGCCTGCGTGTGTGTTTGCTTGGGTGCATGTAAATCTGTGTGTGTGCACGTGTGTGTGTGCACGTGTGTGTGTGCACGTGTGTCCGGCTGCAGCCTAGAGGAGACGATCGGCAACATACGCGTTTAATTTGAATCACCATGTTGGCAACGTAGCTCAGATAGAGGTCGCACACTCACCTTTGAGAAGCTACACACACACACACACACACACACACACACACACACACACACACACACACACACACACACACACACACACACACATACACACACACCACTGTGTAGAGGAAATAGTAACAACCTATGAAAAAAGGCCACACCCCTTTTTAATGAAGAACATGGAGGCGTTTAATTTGAATTCTCTTTTCAGACATGCTGCTTTGAGGAGTGATGTTTGGGGTTGTTGAAGTGTAACAGTAGCACCACGTCTTTTATCTTTTGGACTCGTATGTTTCCACGTAACTAGGAAAGGACCGTCAAAGAGATGATTTCCCTGAAGGATATGTTTATGCTTTTTGATTGTTTTTAATCCTGGCAGGTTTTGAAATGCTTGTAAAATGTTGGGACCCTTTGAGGAGCTGTCAGCTGGTCACATTGATTTTATTGCATTTTACAGTAGGATGTCATTCAGAAACCTCAGGGGAACCTCTATGCTGTTCTTCTTTTTTTAACATTCAGTTTTAATAGTGATTGATTACAAATAAAAACACTTTTATCCTTCAAATGTCTTTTCAAATCACTATTCAAGTCCTTATCCGTCTTTAAGTTATGTTTGTAAAATAAATGAATTTATTTTGAGATCCAGGGAAATGATGACTCTTACACTCACTCGATGTGTGACAGCTTGTGCCTGTCATGGGGGGGGGGCTTCAGTTATTATTTATCTGGCTGGTGGTCCGACCTGGGGCAAAACCCTGGAGGATCCCCCTCAAAAAGTAGCTTCTAAAGCAAGCTCCGGTCAGGATTTATTTCTGGATATATGCACTTCTCTCACTGAGCAATAAACGCTACAGGGAACAGGGAGGCTAACCTGTTGGAACAGCCAATCTACATCAGGCTTATCGTTTTCACTTGAATCCAACCGGCTCGCAGCCTCCGTTCATGGACACTTGTACCTGTTGTTCCAAAAGCTTCTTCAATGTTGTCCAGCATTTCGCTACTTCTCAACCTGATCATTAACAACTATTATCACCTTTTGCATTTATGATTAGTAACAAAAAATACGGAAGAGCTGTAGGGCCACATAGGAATGCATTTTTTGAGTTCAGAGAAAATAGTCCGAATTCCTATTTGAATTTCAGAACAAAAAAAAGGTTTGGGGCAGATCTAAAAAATCCGATGTGGCCCTAATCATCTTCCGTAAGTTTCAGATGTTTTTCATTAGGAGACAAAGATGTCATCTTAAATGCAAACATTTTGATATCCACCTGTCTCTAATGGTCTTCCGTACAGGACACGTATTGGCTGGTTAGGACATGTTGAGTTATTTGTATTTTCTCCTGTGTTTCTAATGAATAAACTACTGAATGGAACGGTGTGTATTTTTAATGCAACACAAGCTCAACTCATGCACTTGGAAAAAGACGTTTATTCACAGATAAACCGATACCATAGACAGGAAGTCTCTTTTGGCAGAGTGGAGAACTGATGGTGGATCGACTGGAGGGGGACTTGTGTGAAGCAGTGTGTGTGTGTGCACGATAAATAGACAGGCCTGTACATCACACACTGATGGTTCCAGCTCTGAGGCAGGAAACAGCAGCTGGTCAGATTGTGCACACTACCACATAAAATGAAATAGTTAATCACATGATTTAAACCACTTACTGTTGTGCTATGTTCATTTAATTTAAGACATATTTTCACACTTTGTCCAGGTTTTAATATTCTCAATCCTCTTGTTTTGTAGGAGCATTCAAACGAAAGCACTGACCAATCAGAACTGATATTCCCCTATGAGTGTAGACGTCCTTTAAAAGCTTTTATTTTTTTTACATTCCTAAAATCTTTTTGCCCAATAACAAAAGTTACTCTTTATATTATCTTGGCAAATATTTTTTCCCCACCCATTTTAAAGATTTTTAATATATATATTAAGCACAGGAGAGAAGTCTTCATATCACTTCTCTTGAGCCTCAAGGCTTCCATAGAAACTTTGAAAAGGCATTGAGGCATGAAAATACATCTGTAGAGGGAGAACATGTGGCTTGTTTTTATTTGGTTGCACCGACGCTTTAATTTCCTGTAGGTGTCCTGACATCAGCCATTCTCAATGAATAGTGTCCGATTCCATTTCTTCATCGTAACTTCCTGAGAGCCTCAGTCTGACCTGGGATCAGTTCAGCAACATCTCAGTAAATGAATCCTCCGTAGCTTCAGAGATGCTTTCATTCCAACATCCGGTTGCTGTAAAACATCTCTGAAAAGACAAGTGTCCATAATATCCAACCATCTGTTAGAGACAGCGTCATGGCAACAGGCTCCACCAAAACACGGGCAGTGCTGTGAAGCTTTAAAAAGAACATTGAGTGTGTGAAGCTGCAGACAATGAACACTGAAGGCATGAGAGGAGATCAAACAGTCCTCACATAAAGCAGGGGTTCATCATCAGGACTCATATCTCCTGCAGAATGAACACGCCTCATTGGTCCATACATTCTACCCCTCTGACTTTATTCCTCCACAATTGCGAAGGGATCTCTTCAAAATAATCATAAGACAATCATTTATTATAATTATAAAAGTCTTTAATTACACATGCCCCGCATTTCTTTATCTTTAAAATACAGTTATGTTACAATAAGTATTAGTTATTGACAGTCACGCCGACTGCTAACATGCTCCCCTGTCTCCTCTCCTCTCCTCTTCGTCTCCTCTCCCTCCTCTCCTCCCCTCTCCCTCCTCTCCTCTCCTCCCCTCCTCAACAATTTGAATTCATGAGGCGGAGGGTGGGGGAGCCTCGCACTGAGCATCACTCCAGGAGGGGTGAGGATAAGGGAGGAGTGGGGGGTGAAGGGTGACACTGATCCCGAGTCTGTTTTGTCCGACTGCCTCAGGCCTCCTCCGGCTCGGGGAAGTCGAGGATCTTGCGGTGGGCTTGTCTCTGGTACTGCTGCTGCTTGAAGTAGACCTTGAACGCCCCCTTGATGGCCACGAAGGCGATTCCTCCCTGTGGGGGGGGGGGGGACAGAGAAAGAGTCAGTGTGAATGTGGAGATTCTCCACCCTGCTTCCTGTGGGGGGGGCAGCCTCTCTGAATAAAGACGAGTGATGCCTCACTTAGGGTATTTTCTGATCACACCTTTTTACATTTTACAACAAAACATGTATCTGTGATGTTCCATATGTAGAGCTGTCATGGTGCGTTCACAGCACCCACCAGGCAAAGACGCAGATAGACACATCATTGAGTTGAGTTTCCTATTAGTTTGTTTGCCTGATTAAGATCAAGATGACTTTATTAATCCCAGGGGGGATTCAGGTCTTCACTGTGGTGATAACAAATAACATGTAATGATACAGTTACACTATAGGCCAGAAGTTCCCACGTGCACCAGCAGGACCTACAGACGTGCACTAATGGAGAGGTGTCAGGGCCAATGAGCAGTTGGGAGTTTGGTGCCTTGCTCAAGGACAACTTCTGCAAAGCCCAGGATGGACTGGCACCTCTCCAGCTACACTATGGATTTTGGTCCGATTGGGACTTGAACCGTCAACCCTTCGGTTCCCAAGCAAAGTCCTTACAGAGTGAGCTACTGACACGTTTGACAAAACATTCATTCAGGTTTTGACTAATTGGAATCATTATGTGGATATTTCAGCTTCCTTCTGATACGCTCATAAGGTTCCTGAGATCTGGAGCACTGCACGGTGTTCATGTCAGTGATGACCACGATGACGGGAGTGGTTTGATATCCTTTTTTCACTATACAAATACTGCTATACTACTTACATGTAGTTTTAAAGACGCAATGGTTGAATGGATTACAGTTTTTAGGTAATTGTACTTTACCTGCGTTTTTTACTTTTATCTGTGAGCTTTTAGTCACTTTAGATTATGATCCCCTTCTCTTCTCTCTCTTATTCATAATACTAAATAATAAAACTCTCTCGGCACCCGTCCCAAGACGGGTGCCGAGAGAGTGCGCTGACCAGCTGGCGGGGATCTTCACCAAGATCTTCAACCAGTCCCTGTCCCAGGCCATCGTCCCATCCTGCCTGAAAACATCCACAATCATCCCGGTGCCGAAAAAGAACAACATCGGCTGCCTAAATGACTACCGTGCAGTGGCACTCACCTCCACCCCCGCTAAAGTTTTTGAGAAGGTGGTCCGTCCCCACATCGTCTCATCCCTCCTTCCCGGTCTGGACCCCCACCAGTTCGCCTACAGGGCCAACAGGTCCACGGAGGACGCCATCGCCACAGCTCTCCACTCTACCCTGTCTCACCTGGAGAGTAGGGGGAGCTACGCACGGATGCTCTTCGTGGACTTCAGCTCTGCATTTAATACCATCCTCCCTGACAGACTGGTGACCAAGCTATCAGTCCTGCGAGTATCCCATTCCTTGTGTCTATGGATTAAGGACTTCCTGTCTGATCGCCCCCAGAGAGTGAGGATTAGCACCCACACCTCCACGTCCCTCAGTACCGGGTCACCACAGGGCTACGTGCTGAGCCCCCTACTATATGCCCTCTACACCTATGATCTCGTCCCCACCCACACCAGCAACTCCATCATAAAGTTCGCTGATGATACCACCGTGGTGGGCTGCATCTCAGGGGGTGACGAGACTGCGTACATGGACGAGGTGGAGCAACTGCTAGCGTTGTGTAAAGTAAACAACCTGCAGCTGAACAAGCTGAAAACCTAGGAAATGATCATTGACTTTAGGAGGAAGAAGACCGACATGCTCTACATTGATGGAGGCTGTGTGGAGAGAGTCTCAGTGATCAAATTCCTGGGCGTTCACCTGGAGGAGGACCTGTCCTGGAGGACCCACACCACGGCAACCGTCAAGAAGGCACAGCAGAGACTCTACTTCCTGATAATACTCAGGAATTACCACCTCAGACAGGATCTGCTTGTGTCCTTCTACCGCTGCGCCGTGGAAAGCATCCTCACCTACTGCATCTGCGTGTGGTTCCTCAGCTGCACAGCCGCTGAGAGGGGTGCGCTCCAAAGGGTCATCAACTCAGCCCAGAAGATCATCGGTTGCCCCCTCCCCTCCCTGGAGGTACAGTACAGCTCTCGTTGCCTTAAGAAGGCAGTCAAAATCCTCAAGGACCCACACCACCCGGGTAACAAGCACTTTGTACGGCTGCGCTCAGGCAGGCGCTTCTGTACCATGTCTTCCCGGACAAACGGACTCAAGTTCAGTTTTTTTCCCAGGGCCATATGTGCACTAAACGCTGCTAATATTTAAATTATATAAACCTTCTGTGCAATACGAGGGGAATCGTGCAATTTAATTTATTTATTATTTATGTACATATTCCCCATCATGTCTTTTTAAGTCCCATTTATTGTTTTTATTGTTTTTATATTGTCTTGTTGTTTTTATATTGTCTTGTTGTTTTTATAGTGTCTTGTTTTTATATTGTCTTGTTGTTTTTATATTGTCTTGTTGTTTTTATATTGTCTTGTTGTTGCGTGTTGGCACCTTGAGTCTATTGTAATTTCATTGTACCTGTACAATGACAAATAAAGATCTATCTATCTATATAAATCTAATGTTCAGTCTCTACACACCGGAGGCTTTCTTGGGCCAGTAAGGAAATCATTCAATCCTGTCAATGAAGGCTCACACTTCAGAGCATAAGGGTTATGGTTGCTGTCGTCAGGTCAAAACAAAGCAGCATCATCATTTGAAATGGTTATGTTTTCCTTCTGACCACATTAATACATGTTGTTCATTGATAGGAGAAGCATCTCGCCTTCAGTCTGTCCCTCAGTGAAGGAGGACTGATTGTTGGGTAGTATCCCATGAGCCTCTCTGGTTACCTGTCTGTCTGCACCACCAGGTAATGAGGAGAGATAACGGCTTAACTGGGATCATTTATTAATGATCACTGTTACCAATTTACCCCCCCCTCCACCACTGAAGGTCTGTTCTGTAACTCTGTCAGTGTCCCCCCCCCTCCTGGAGGTGTGTGTCTGCAGGAACCCACCAGGATGGTCCTCTGCAGGTTGGAGTTGACGCTGCTGAACATCAGCTTCCCCACGATGGTTGCGATGGTGGGGAAGACCAGCGCACCACACAGGATGCGGGTGGCAGAGACGTGGTCCGCCAGTGGGCTGGCCTCCGCCGGGATACGGGGAACAGGGCAGCCAATCCCTGCAGAGACACAGAGAGCAACTTATATTATTAACCAATCAACAATGTACTTAAACAGTGTTCAGGCAGACCCTCACATCCATCAGTGTGTTTACAGTCCTCTGTGAAGGGGCGGTGCTACAGTGTGTTTACAGTCCTCTGTGAAGGGGCGGTGCTACAGTGTGTGTACAGTCCTCTGTGAAGGGGCGGTGCTACAGTGAGTTTACAGTCCTCTGTGAAGGGGCGGTGCTACAGTGTGTTTACAGTCCTCTGTGAAGGGGCGGTGCTACAGTGAGTTTACAGTCCTCTGTGAAGGGGCGGTGCTACAGTGTGTTTACAGTCCTCTGTGAAGGGGCGGTGCTACAGTGAGTTTACAGTCCTCTGTGAAGGGGCGGTGCTACAGTGTGTTTACAGTCCTCTGTGAAGGGGCGGTGCTACAGTGAGTTTACAGTCCTCTGTGAAGGGGCGGTGCTACAGTGTGTTTACAGTCCTCTGTGAAGGGGCGGTGCTACAGTGTGTTTACAGTCCTCTGTGAAGGGGCGGTGCTACAGTGAGTTTACAGTCCTCTGTGAAGGGGCGGTGCTACAGTGTATTTACAGTCCTCTGTGAAGGGGCGGTGCTACAGTGAGTTTACAGTCCTCTGTGAAGGGGCGGTGCTACAGTGAGTTTACAGTCCTCTGTGAAGGGGCGGTGCTACAGTGTGTTTACAGTCCTCTGTGAAGGGGCGGTGCTACAGTGTGTTTACAGTCCTCTGTGAAGGGGCGGTGCTACAGTGAGTTTACAGTCCTCTGTGAAGGGGCGGTGCTACAGTGTGTTTACAGTCCTCTGTGAAGGGGCGGTGCTACAGTGTGTTTACAGTCCTCTGTGAAGGGGCGGTGCTACAGTGTGTTTACAGTCCTCTGTGAAGGGGCGGTGCTACAGTGTGTTTACAGTCCTCTGTGAAGGGGCGGTGCTACAGTGAGTTTACAGTCCTCTGTGAAGGGGCGGTGCTACAGTTGTGTTTTACAGTCCTCTGTGAAGGGGCGGTGCTACAGTGTGTTTACAGTCCTCTGTGAAGGGGCGGTGCTACAGTGAGTTTACAGTCCTCTGTGAAGGGGCGGTGCTACAGTGAGTTTACAGTCCTCTGTGAAGGGGCGGTGCTACAGTGAGTTTACAGTCCTCTGTGAAGGGGCGGTGCTACAGTGAGTTTACAGTCCTCTGTGAAGGGGCGGTGCTACAGTGTGTTTACAGTCCTCTGTGAAGGGGCGGTGCTACAGTGAGTTTACAGTCCTCTGTGAAGGGGCGGTGCTACAGTGTGTTTACAGTCCTCTGTGAAGGGGCGGTGCTACAGTGTGTTTACAGTCCTCTGTGAAGGGGCGGTGCTACAGTGAGTTTACAGTCCTCTGTGAAGGGGCGGTGCTACAGTGTGTTTACAGTCCTCTGTGAAGGGGCGGTGCTACAGTGTGTTTACAGTCCTCTGTGAAGGGGCGGTGCTACAGTGAGTTTACAGTCCTCTGTGAAGGGGCGGTGCTACAGTGAGTTTACAGTCCTCTGTGAAGGGGCGGTGCTACAGTGAGTTTACAGTCCTCTGTGAAGGGGCGGTGCTACAGTGAGTTTACAGTCCTCTGTGAAGGGGGCGGTGCTACAGTGAGTTTACAGTCCTCTGTGAAAGGGCGGTGCTACAGTGTGTTTACAGTCCTCTGTGAAGGGGCGGTGCTACAGTGAGTTTACAGTCCTCTGTGAAGGGGCGGTGCTACAGTGAGTTTACAGTCCTCTGTGAAGGGGCGGTGCTACAGTGAGTTTACAGTCCTCTGTGAAGGGGCGGTGCTACAGTGAGTTTACAGTCCTCTGTGAAGGGGCGGTGCTACAGTGAGTTTACAGTCCTCTGTGAAGGGGCGGTGCTACAGTGAGTTTACAGTCCTCTGTGAAGGGGCGGTGCTACAGTGAGTTTACAGTCCTCTGTGAAGGGGCGGTGCTACAGTGAGCGGACCTGGGAAGATGCTGTTGAGGATCTGCAGCTTGTTGCAGTACTTCCTCCACAGACGCAGCACGTAGTCCTCCCAGCGGATCATCTTGCCGAGGATCAGCATGACGGGGATGGTGGGCAGGCCGATGAGCAGGAACAGGGGGTCCGCCCGCTCCATGACGTCCAGACCCTCCTTATGGCCCACCACCTGGGGGGCAGAGGGGGAATCACAATTCAAAACTAAAAATCAAAAAAGGAGACAGTGGGACTCGAGCAGTACTCTACATCACCACATGCATATTATTTGGGTTTATTAAGCAGCTCAGTTGAAAACCCGATTCTGATGAAGTGTGCTGCTCTTTTTCGATAGCAGACTATTGCTAAGAACTCTCTGAATGAAGGACTATGTGCAGTCTATCAATCTGCAGAATAAGTCTGTCATACACCATGATACACTTTTATTCATTTTGATATTTGTGGAGAGCACAACACTTTGGAGTCATGATGGCTGAACTGTCCCCAGTGAAGAAAAGAAAAAGAGCGCAAGAGGAGGAAAGAGGTTAAAATACAGAGACCTGGACGTCAGAGAAATCAGCAGACAGGAAGTAAACACTAACGGGAACAGCAGAAGAAGACAGACAGGGGCCGTTTCTCAATGTCGAGTACACATGCTGCAGAGCCACTATTTCAAGTATACTATGTCATCGAGTGGCACCGGATGCTGGGCATTTAACATGATGACGTAGTATACTTGAAATAGTGGCTCTGCAGCAGGTATACTCGACATTGAGAAACGGCCAGGAAGTAAACACTAACGGGAACAGCAGAAGAAGACAGACAGGAAGTAAACACTAACGGGAGCACAGTATGGGCTCTGGAAGTGGCTGAGCATCACCACCGCTAAGCTAAAGGCGGCTAATGTTCAGAGTGATGATGTTGAGTTGTCTCATTTAGTCACTTGTTAGCAACCGTCGTTTTTATGACACAGACATTCTGACCAAAACACCACCCAATTTAAGACGAGGGTACCGGAAGTGGTAAACTCCTAACTCATTTCTGTGTTTTAGGACTCATTTCTGCACCACTCAATTATCCCTCACTTAAAATGGATAATGTGAAATGCATGCATGACTTGCAAAACTGCATTCCAGTCATTTATTATTTAATGTGCCCGCTGAATGTCTCACCTGCATGACAGTGACGGCTCCGTACGTGACGGCGGTCCAGTAGATGGAGCCCACCATGATGCCTGCAGCAGCGAAGGGACCCGCCTTAGAGATGAACCGGTCGGCCAGGTCCAGCACGTAGACCACGGGACCTGGGGGGGGGGGGGGGGACAGAGTGAGGACAGAGTGATGACCACTCCTACACAGACAGCTCTTATTTGATATATTTTAAAAGTTCTTATTTTTTCTTAAATTCTGAAAAAATATATTTATAATATAATACAACACTGTATATATTGTAATATATACCTTGTACTACATCTAATGTAGTACAATGTGCACATTTATAGTATAACTTCTAATGTTGATATCATATATTTTAATTTCTCTTTTTACCTATTTGTACCGAATACAAATCAAAAATCATATCTTCATTTGATTTTTTGTATCACTAGGTCAAAACTTTATGCAACTACAAGCTCTTTTGTATGAAATGGGAAATATAATGACACAAACTGATGGGCTTTTTTAATTAACTTTTTTTAATGTAATCCCAGTGAATTAGTGAAGAGCGATTTACGTAAATCCGCGCATGAACATCCCGTCACTGGCAAAGAGTCAAACACATTTGGGTCACAGAGGGTTAGATAGAGTGTGTGTGTGTGTGCGTGTGTGTGCGTGTGCGTGTGTGTGCGTGTGCGTGTGTGTGTGTACAGCAGGGGTCATGAGACTCCTGCAGGTCATACAGACACTGCGACCAGAAAAATAATCCAACATAAATACGAACCATTCGACTCCTTGAAGAGGAACCAGATGAAGTTTGATCTACTCTTGTGTGAAAGATAAGCAGGTCAAATTACACCAGTTTCATTTACAATAAAAAAACAAAAAAACAAACAAGGAAGCTCTCACTAAATCATCGTCATGACGTCAGGCAGTCTTCAAGTCAAAATGACAACAATGCAGTCATGTGATATTTAAAAGAGATCAGGTGCACCTTGCTCTGCAGGATTAATGACGGAGAGGGAGGAGCCTCTCAGACAGGATCCACCTGGATTAATAATAACTGACTCAGTGGGGAAGGAGTTAAGGTAATAATACCAAACTGTACAAATACTCAGTTACAAGCAAGAGTAATGCATTGAAAGTAGGGATGCTCCGATAGATCGGTGCTCTCTAAAAGTGCCGATCGCGAGAGCCGATCGCATGACGTAAAATACATGACACTTTTCTCTGTGCAAAACAAGCTCGCCAAAATCTGGCAGTATTTTAAAGGTCCCATGTGATGGCCATTTCTACTGATCATAATTCCACTGTTGAGGTCTACTAGAATAGATTTATATTGTGCAATTCTCCAAACTCACATTGGTTTCTCAAACAGCATCTCTGTATAGTATGTGTATTCACTCTCTGGCCTTCACGGCTTGTTGGAGCTCCTGCCCCCCCTCCCTGTGAGCCCAGTGTGCTCTGATTGGTCAAGCGACGTGCAGCTGCTCGTGAGGAGCTGCTGCGAGGAGTGGACAGGCTTCCGTGTCGGAGATAGATGCAGCGAGAACAAGCGAAACTCATCCTGAACACACAAACACTCACAGCCGAAGTAAAAACAATAAGTGTGGCTTGATATTGAGTAAGAAAAAGGTTTATAAAGCTGTGAGAATGGGATCGTGGAGAGCATTTCTCCGTGATCCCAACGTATTCCGAAAAACGTTTACCCATTTAAACAGTCGTGGTAGATACCTTGTTTGTGTTAAACATCATAAATACACAAACGACAATGAATACTTACAAGTTTTGTACCCGAATCTCCCGCTGGTCCAAACAAAGCAGGAGTAGTGTGTGTGTGTGTGTGTGTGTGTGTGTGTGTGTGTGTGTGTGTGTGTGTGTGTGTGTGTGTGTGTGTGTGTGTGTGTGTGTGTGTGTGTGTGTGTGTGTGTGTAGCAGCCGCATGTGTGCAAACTGCCCCGCCCCCTCGCACACAGACAGGGAGAGAGAGATCTCTCGTCAGGATTGGAAAGATCGAAAATACTAAAAATAATCATAGATGCATTTTTGCAGTCTTTTTGCATATTAGAAAACGGAGTTGACGACACCAAAACTGCAATATGTTTGTGGAGCATAATAAATATGACATATCGTTCTTCAGTGCCCTACGCTGTACATATCCGGCATGAATCGCTGAAAGGTTTGGGAAGCTTTGTTTCGTGAAAGGCTCAGGCTGGCAGAGGGTGCGGCCATAGCTCTGGGCGTGGCTACTGGGTATCCCTACGTAGCGATACCCAGGAAGAAAATGAGAAATCTCCAACGAGGCGTTTTGGGGAGGTATTTTCTGTGTAACGGTACGTCCACACAGCAGCTTTTCAAAAATCTTGAAAATCTTGGATTAGCAAGGTGAGATTCCACAGATTCCAGAAATATCAGTATCATCATTGAGCGATCAGAACTTGCGACAGGGTAAGCAAATACAGACATCACACGATGTAGCTCTAGGTAGCAAAAATCGGAGATATGCCCACCTTTTGCTGTTATTCTGATCAAAAGTCGTGTTCAATGGCATTAAAACGATAAAAACGCGGCTGAAAGTTAATCCATAGGTTAATCCAATGTGTCACTTTGAACAAATTACTGATAATCCATAATTCAATTTTTATGTAAAAAACTGAGTTTTCATATTAGCTGCTAATGATAGCTACTAGAGGAGGGCTTCTCAAACTCCGGACCAAGGTCCAGATCCAGACCGAACTGCAAATCAATCCTGTGTCCCATTATAAAAAATACAGCACACTAGGCCTCCATGTGTTGCAGTCCAACTCTGTAACCTGCATGATAAGCTCCACAGCAGTGCAGCTCTAAAGTGTCTGAAAACATACTTTCTCATAAAGCTTACTATAATCAAAGTTGCCCTACATACACATAACCGTTTCTGGCTAACTGTAATGAGCATCTTACATGAGATATTTCTGTGTTAAGCATTAGTTACTATTCATACACCCTTCTGTTTTCTCACTACAAACCACTCAAAATGAAGTGAAAGACCTAACCAGGACACTGGCAGACTTAAGCATCTAAAGCTCAAATATTACTTTATTTATATGGCACTGTTTGTACACAATGGGAACACAAAGTGCTACAAGCCAGGAACACAAACAATTAACCAAAATAAAAACAATACTAACCCCCGCCCCCCTTCACAGGTAATTAACAGAGTTATATAGCTTTGTGATAAATAAGAACACTTAATACCGACAAGGGACTGAACAAGAATAAAATAAAGACTAAATACAATTGAATGAAAAGGCAAATTGAAAGGTGGGTCTTGAGCTGTTCCTTAAAGTGTGAGCACTTTAAACACTCCCTGCCATCCTCTCCTGTGAGGCTGTGAGGGATAAAAGAACCCTGATTTCAGAGGATTGTTTTATAAACTGCATTGTTCCAGTCTTACGGCCGGTCTACACAGCGGCGTGCGTTGAAGCTTGCCGGCGGGCGTGTCTGAAACTCGACCAACAACCAATCACATGAATCTCCCGCCCCTGACACACAAGCAGCGGTTTGATTGGCTAGAGCTTGTACTGGCATATGATTAGATTGGCTGACGCTTCTGCCGAGGCTTCAAAAGTTGAACATTACTCAACTTTTGCAGCGAGCCACGCCACTAAAGCTCCGCGTTGCTTCCCACAATGCAGTTCGGCGAAAAGTGACGTCACCCCATTCAAAGTGAATGGTGAAGCTTTCAACGCACGCCGCTGTGTAGACGGGCCGTTACAGTGTAGTTAGTCTTATGCTATGATACGAGTATCCTACTATTGTATGATAGGAGAAATATTAGCAATGTTCCTACAGCTTAAGGCAAGTTGTATTTAAGACTTAAATAAAAAATGTAAAGGCACTTTAAATTAAATTCAAGACTGTATGCTTAATGTTTCCTTATCCGGATCTGGACAATAGCAAAGAGGAGGACTAACGTATGTGTTTGGCAAACATAACGCTGTCCTGGATAACAACTTTGTCTGGGTTGAGAACTTCCTCAAATAGAATAAACACCTTTTAACTCGGTCCTTATACTTTGTCGCACATCTATCTCTGAACTCTTGAACTCTCTAAACCAGGGTATATGCAGGAATCCTGAAGTCAAATGTAATACCTTTTAAGACCTTTTTCAACCTGTTTAGCCCTGAGCCTGTTTTTCAGGTCTCAGGCTCGAAAATGACATTCCCAGAACAAATGACCATATCTTCCCTTCTAAAAGGGTTACATTAATAATCTTTTTTCTCAAAGTAATGATAAACCTGTGAGTTGGATGTAGAAGAGTCAGAATCAATATAGATGCTTTTTATTTTAAAGAAAATTCAGATTGAACACAGTAAAAAACTGTAAATTATAGTGTCCGTCCAAACATTATTTTTATATTATAATGAAAACTACCCTTGGATGATGGTAAGGTAGACTAAAAGCTTTAGGAATCCAAAGTACAACATATAATAAGTATCCTGTATCAAGATTGATGCAAAACAAGTGACATTTGACCTTTTAGAGAGGTTTAGCTAAAAAAAACTCCACCTCTGAGGTGATTTGGGTGGAAATGGGGGTTTTACCGTTTCTCTGGAACCCATTGGTCGATTTTGGTGATTGACATCTCTTTCTGACCGTTAGAATCGAAGGGAGATCTCCCCACTCACACACACAGTCTAAAACAAAAAGGTGTGTGCTTCGCCCACACAGTTTTTCACCAGAGTGAAGCTGTCTGTAGCTCTGACTTCTGAAAACCGAAAAGCAGGTTTATTGCTTATGGATTATCAGAAATCATTTCAAAGGGACACAGACACATTGGATTAACCTATGGATTAACTTCAGCAGCGTTTTTATCGTTTTAATGCCATTGAAGACCACTTTTGACCAGACTACGACACAGGTGAGCCATGTTAGCGTTTTTAGCTACCTAGCGCCACATGTTTTGATGTCTGTTCTTGTTATTATCTCCGCGAATAATTGAGTGATAATGAGGCTACCCTTCGATTCTGTGTCACCTCACGATGTGAAATGATGGGTTAGATGTGCAGCAAAGATAAATAATAAGGTTTTGTGAGTGAATTTCGGTGCAGTAATCTGTTAGCATTTTTCGCTCGTTGCTAATTCAGAGGCTCAGCGTTAGCATTGT